AACAAGAAAAAAAATGTGAATAAAAAAAACCTAGTCATTTCCCCATACATACATTCAACAACAACGACAACGATGAAAATGTTTTACAATTGACAATTTGATTCAAATTGTTTTCTTCATTCATTGAGCGCGCGAAAATAAAAATTGGTACCAAAAAAAAAAAAAAATAGATATTTGTGGCCCTCGGTTCCAACAATATCTATTTTACCCTGTGTGTGTGTAAAGAGAAAACATTTATACAAGCATACAATAAAATAAATACTTGGCCCACAATCGGATCGTATTCTCACACACACACACACACACACACACTCTCTCTCTCTCTTTTCACCTTTTGCCATTTAATTGAAATTGAATATTTGTACTGCTGTTGTTGTTGTTGTTGTTGTTGTCAATACAAATATAAAAAAAACCAAATTCAATTTAAAAGATGCAATTCAAGATTATTCGATTTGATTTGATTTGATTTGATTTTGATCTGAACGACCATAGAGAGAGAGAGAGATACCTGCTGTTTCATTGTAAAATTGTTGACACAATGATCAAAACGAAAAGAAAAGAAAATTACATAATGATAATCATTACAATCAAATCAAACGATTCTTTTTTTTGTAATCAAATCAAATAATTTCTAGATGATCATGCTGTGTGTCCATCAAATATTTTTTTTTTTTTTTGGTCATCATAATTCATCAATTATGTGTGATGCAAGGTCAACCTGTTGTTATCAAATGTGTCAAATACACACACACACACATATGTTTTTGGTCATCAATGATTTGACCTTTAAAAAAAATAACGAATTTTAATATTTTAAAAAAAAAATGATGATGATGACTTTGTCACCAGAGCAAAAAAAAAAAATTGTTTATTACAATCGGTAAACATATCACGACCAAAATCTACGAATAATAATCGATGATGATTATCGTTGATAAGATTCAAGAGTCGACAATACATACATACACACAGTAGGAATAGAATAAACAGCAGCAGCAGAAGCAGCAGCAGCAAATAAGCTACCAACAACTGTGTTCCATAAGATCCGATTCTTATCTTTTAAATATTAACTTTTCAACTTGACCAATGGTCATGTTGACATTCCGTTACAAACTATAGTCATCGATGATGATGATGATGATGACGATTGAACATGAACCATCGAGAATTACCCCTGACAGTGTAAACATTGGTTAGATGACAGAAAATCATGGCAGCATTTCATCGAACATATGTGTTTGTTTGTGTGTGTTTGCTCATAGGATTAACAGTTTTTTTTGTTGTTGTTGTTGTTGTTAAGCCTTTCGTTCCTATAATTGATATGATATTTTCGAAATTTTGTTATATTCAAAATACTAAAAATATTTTGCCAACAAATCGAATTGCAAAATCGATTTCGATATTTATTTTTTTTCAATTAGTCATTTGAGACCATTTTTTTGTTGTTGTTGTTGTGGTGGTGGTGTTGGTGGTTATATGTGTCTGTCTCCAATCGAATGGTAACAACAATATACCATCAATGGTCAATGGTAATCATTATCATTTGTTTGACTGGTTTTCTCATGTTTGCTCACCCCTGTTCCACCCTCCCAAAATAAGTGTATTTGTCTTGTTTTTGATGATGATGATTTGGCTATTGTATTGTGTATGCGTGAGACAGACAAATATCACACACACACACACACACACACAAAACAATATTTGATTGTCGAACAAATCGTACAATAACAAATGGCAAATTATTGCCTTGTACGACATAAACACACACACACAGATTTATTGTCGTTGGTTTTTTTTCTGTTACATATATTTCATTCATTTTCATTCAAAGATTTTAAAAGATCAAAATCTAGTGATAAGAAAAACAATAGAATGACACTTTATTCATTTGTCTGTTTTTTTTTCATTTACTTCGACACACACACACACACACACACACACCAAACACAATCTTACCTTGATTCAGTATTGATTGAATCAAATATTGAATTGACAATACAAATTTCGATTTATGTATGGTGCGACATTCATTACCGACATTCGGTTATTGTGTGTTTCATACATTTGTGTGGAGAAAAAAAGGGTTTTCCTTCCATTTGGTTCCAAAGATTTTGCTAGCAATGTAATATGAGAAGGGCAAAATTTGCAAGTTTCAACAATAGTCATATGGTGCTGTTAGAACATTTTTTTTTCTTGATAGAATATGGAATGTCAGTTTCGATGAGCTTTCGTTTTTTTTTCTTGATGACTTTTTGTTGTTGTTGTTGGCAAAACAAAAACATTCGACCAACATCAACATACAGAAACAGTAACAACAACAACAACAACAAACACTGGAAATGTATGTATGTGTGTGTGTCTGTGGAATTCAAATTCGATTCAATCAACTGTTATGCTGATCATACCCGATTACTTTCCAATGATGATGATGATGATCAATTCATTTGCCACTTGATTATCATACGATCGTGTGTGTGATCGATGGTTGGTTGGTTGGTTGGTTGGTGGCAATATAAGATATCTGATTTCAATGGTTGGTTTCTGATTTCCTCAAATTATATCCATATATTGGTTGTATATATATATTGACCAATTATTTTATGTAAGAGACCTGAAGAAAAGCCGCCGTTTTCGTTTTCGTTGAATGTTGAACAACAGTGAATGGAAATCGGGAAATTAATCCATTGATCAAGTGAAATGTACCGCACACACACACACAACACATTATTATTATTATTATCGACGGTTAAGCCGATTCAAGTATACGGTAAACTTGCTCAATTTTTCGTAACAACAACAATAGCTTTAAATACAACAACAACAACTAATTCCTGGTGATAATCCCTACAAGCGTCTCAATATAGCCATTGCCTTTTGAATGGCCTATTTGATACAAAAAAAAAAATTTTGGATCAATGAACAATCGAATAGTCATCAAGATGGAATTTTATTTGATGAAAAAAAAACAAGAATACCATGTGTGTGTGTGTGTGTGTCTGTCGGTGCATTATTCTACATTTAAGAAAAAAAAATCTGGTCAGATCAGATTCCAATTTAGTGATGATGATCATCTGTGTCACAGATGTTGAAATGGTCATCGAATGTCCAAACAAACAAACAAACAAATGAACACACACACACACACACACACACACACACATGGCGACAGAGATCATCTTTAATTCTCATTCGATTTTGTTTTAGTTTACATAGGGAGACATCAAACATTATCGCTAACCAAACACAAACTCGAAATAGATATTCAATTCCAATACAAGCAAGATGATGATCATGATGAGACATGTGATCGACATATGCATGTTGTAGCAGCACCACAAACATGTTGGACATTATGGGCATACAATCACAACAGTGATTGATAACGATAATACACACACATGTGTATGTATCTATCTGTAAAAAAGATGTACCAGATTAGAACAAAAAAAAACAAACAAACAACAACTGAAGAAGAAACAGTCAACGATAATGGCAATGTAATGCAATGCGACACTAATTGATTGATCGATTGATTTCAATTAGATATTCCACAATATTGCTTATCTTTTTCTCTCTCTCTTTTCTATCATCCATATGGGAACCTAATGTTTCTGATGATGATAATTTGACCTTTTTGCCATTGTGAATATGCCAGGTGAACAGGATGATGAATAGGATTGTGTTATGAAGTAGGAAATATATGCTTTTAACACCGATCCGGTGCCATTGATGATGATGATGATGATGATGATGATGAAATGTGTATTCAATTTGCGGCTAAAAAAAATCATTTGTGATTAGATAACATTATCTCAAAGATGGAGAAAAAAAAGGGAGAAAGTTTTTTGCCATAAGTTAAAAAAATTTTCGATTGAGTTCTAATCAATTAAAAGCTGTCATCTTGAACTTTTCATTCGGTAGTAGTAGATGTATATGGATCCAACAAAAAAAAAACTAGATTTGACCCTGTGTCATGAACCTGTTTTTTTTGTTGTTCGTTCAAAATAAAAAAAAAATTCAGAATCAAATTCAAATAACAGAAGCCGTGTTACTTAATATCCATTAACCTCATCATCATCATGATCATAGTGATCATTATCATGGAAAAAAATATCCGTTGCCATCGACAACCACATTGATTCGTGAAATGGGTAATCGTCAACAACAACAACAACATTGGATTGTAATAAATTTTTAAATTTTATTTTTTTTCAAAAAAACAGTCAGTCATTCATATTTAAACATTTGAATTTTTTTTAGGGAAAGAAACAAAAAAAAAATGCTACCACATTTCTGATGAATGGAATGGAATGAAATGAAATGAAATAAAATGGTCTGGTCGGGTCGCTTAATCCGTTTATTGTGTTCTTTTTCATCTGATTTTTTTTACCCTGTTGTTGGCCTTGCTGATCCTGAGAGTTGTTCTTTTATGTCCATGTTAAAATTCAACAACAACCAAAAAAAAAATTGATGATTGGTATTGGCTTTGAACTTTGAACTATTGAAAATTCCATACAGACACACCATTCAAATTTAGTCTGCATATTCAGGTATTCACTAAATGATAGAAAATGGTGAACATCATTCAGTCATGAAAATAGTCGGTTTTAGAAAAGAGAAGAGAAAAGAACGATGAAGTACCAAAATGGAAAATTTTTTTTTTTCGTTGACTTGAATTTTCAACTTTTCAATAAAGGGATTAATGTCAACAAAATAGGAAAAAAAACGATCCATTCGCATTCAGATTCATTGAATGGCCATTTCCAAACAATGGACAACATATGGTCACAGATTGATCAACCACCACCAGCACCAGCACCACGTTTTTCAAACGTTGTTTTTTATCATTGTTGTTGGATCATTTTACTATCATTTTTTTCACTAACACACAAGATAGTTTAATTGAATTTATATTCTACATTTAGTAGCCAGTGTATTTATGTTTATGTTTTTGTTGAGTATGTGTCGATGTGGTACTGTCGGTGATAATCAGTAAAGCCATTATGGATTATTAGTATTTGGATGGATGAAATCTAGTTTTTGAGCAGATTATACATAAGCATTAAACTTTGTAGATAAAAAAAGAAAAACTGTTTTCGTGACAACAACAAAAAATTCAAACTCAATTAGAATCATGATGATGATCCTCCACATTGTTATCTACATACCTTGAGAAATGACATCATACTGATCAATGTGGCACGACCAAATATAATTCCATATTGATTTAACGTATGAATTTTTTCAATATATAAACTAGTATGAATATGTAATGATAATGGTCGTAGTGGAAAATGAACAGAATAATAAATAATTTTATGTGAACATTTATGAATCTTGATCGTATATAGGGAACAAATTAAATGGATGACAAAAAAAATGACCGTTTGTTGTAAAATGACACCAGAAGCAAAAATTTCCAAAGATAAAATTGATTATTGTTATCGAAAAAATATGTGGTGATAATGAGCAATAGATTCATTGGAAAATTTGCTATTAAATATGATGAAAAAAGATCCGATTCATAACATGTTAATCGATTAACTTGATCAAAATTATGGCCATGTAACCATAGAAATCGATTGACAATACGGCTATAATAACGAGGATGAGATTTGTTCATAATCCGTTTTGTGTTTAGAGTCGAATTTATTTGATCTAATTTCAGAAATATAGTCCATGTTATGACGATAAATTGATACATGAATAATAAATAACAATGAGCCATCATAAATTGAGCACCATCGAAAAGTAAACAATTCAATAATGAACAAATTATACGGCTTACTATCAACGAATATCGTATTGTAAGCCATAGAATATTCTCATTATCATCATAAATGATTCGATCAGAATGAGCTAAAAACATAGTCATCTTGTTGATGCACACATATATCGCATACAAGGCGAATATATCCATTAATAATGTAATTATTTGATTCTGTTGAATAAATTCAATCATTTTACCACGTATAAAATGGCAGATATTCTGTTGTTTATGTTGTTTATGTAGAAAGTAACGGTCACCATCCGATTTGAACAGGATCATATCCATCAAACGGACAACATTATCAGGAATATCTAAATAAAGTTTATAGATAAGATAAATGCCTAAACATGTAAGAAATATGCCCATTAAATTCATTGCATTAGGTAAACCATAAATGTAGAATATGTCGAATACCAAGATTCTGTGTTCATTATTTAATGGCAAGAAAAACAATAGCAGATAACGAAACAATTGAAACGTTTGAAACCAAATTATATGATTAATAATACGGTTAGCATCGGATTTTTGGCCAAAATTTGTTGATGATATAACCTTCTTATCATTGTTGGCCATTTGTGTTACTGTCTGAAGATATGATTGAAAATTGCTTAGATTTTTGATGGGAATCATTTCCGAAAAAATCCAACGTATTAACGACATTTTTTTTTTTGAAAAAAATTTAATAATACAATCAAGTCTATTGCCACATAAACAGTAATGGTTTCATATTCGTTTATCATTTATATTTGATTCAATTTCAAAATCAAACTGTACGCATTTTTTTTTGCAAAAAAAAAAAACAAATCGATGCTTTGGTAAGAAAAAAAAATTCTTGATAAAAATGCCATGTGATCATATTCACGCAATGACAGACACACAAAGAAAGATATCGAAAAAAAACGACAAAGAATGTGGTTTATTGATTAATAAAACACTATACTATAATGATAAAATATTCTTGTCTGTACATACTGATACAGAAATCATGTGGTTTATTCTGTATTCCAAGACAATGGGAAAAATGGTCTGAAATGTTTTTTTTGTGAATAATGATAATGGTTATGGCATTGTAACAATAATAATTTATGAATATGAAATGAAAAACCTTAAATTGAAAAATTCTATGTTTCATATTAACACCAATATTCTTTATATACAACTACATTTTGTTTGTGTGTGTGTGTGTGTGTGTATGTGTGTGAATAGTCATTATATATTCAATTATAGCCAATTTGCGTGTTTATGAGGTGAAAATCGATGAAACCATCATTATCGATGACATGATGATATAGCCAAGTGTTATATTATGCATTGAGCAGATTATACATAAGCAATAAACTTTGTAAATAAAAAAAGAAAAACTGTTTTCAAGACAATAACAAAAAAAAACAAATTGAAAATCATCCAGAATTTTGATGAACATGCACATACCTTGAGAAAGAAAATCATGCTAATCACAACGGCTCCACCTAATACAATTCCATATTGTTTTGAAGTATGAATCTTTTCTATATATAAACTACTTCGAACATGTAACGATAATGGCCGTAATGGAAAATGAATTGACCAATAAATGAGTTTATGTGAACATTTATGAATCTTGATCGTATAAATGGAACAAATCAAATGGATGACAAAAAAACCGATCAATTGTTGGCCAATAACAGCGGTAGCAAAAAATTTCCAAGCATGTAATTGATTGTTATTGTCGATTAAATATGTGGTCACAATAACCAATAAATTCATTGGAAAATTTGCAATCAAATATGATGAAAAAAGATCCGATTCATAACGTGTTAATCGATCCACCTGAATAAATGTATGGTTATATAACCATAAAAACCGATTGACAATACGGCTATAATAATGTGGATGATGTTCGCCTGAAATCGGTTTCTTGTCCAAAACAAATTGATTTGATCCAATTTCAGAAATAATGTCCATGTTAGAAAAAGGAACACGTACATGATCAACATATAACAATGAGCCATAATGAATTGAGCCAAATCGAAAAACAAACAATTCATCAGTGAACAAAGAATATAGCTTACCATTATCGAATATCGTATTGTAAGCCATAAAATATTTTCATCCTCATCATGAGTTATTCGTTGAAAAAATATGGTCATCTCATTGATAAAGACATATATCGAATACAAGGTGAACATATTCAATGCTAATACAAATAATTGATTCTGTTGAATCGATTCAGTCATTTTATGACGTATAAAATGGCAGATATTCTGTTGTTTATGTTGTTTATGTAGAAAGTAACGGTCACCATGTGTTTTGAACAGAATCATATCCATCAAACGGACAACATTATCCGGAACATCCAAATAAAGTTTATAGATAAGATAAATGCCTAAACATGTAAGAAATACGCCCAATAAATTCATTACATTATTGATGCCGCAAATGTAAAATATATCGAACGCTAAGATTCTTTGTTCGGCGTTCAATGGCAAAAAAAACAATAAAAGATAACGGAACAATTGAAATATTTGAAACCAAATTAATTTACTAATAATACGGCTAGCATCAGATTTTTGGTGATCACGAAAATTTATACATAATATATGATGATGCTGTTCATTATGAGCAATTTGTTTTTGCAGCTGAAGATATGTTTGAATATAGTCAAGATTTTTGATGGGAATCATTTCCGAAACGAACCAACGTATTAACGACATTTTTTTTATTGTTGTAATGATACATAACCACTATGCAATGTTTCATATTTGTTTGCCTTTTATATTTGATTCATTTCCAAGTCAAGCTGCAGACTTTTTTCTTCGCAACAAAAAAAAAACAGAAATCGATGCTTGATCAAAAGAACTTTTCCCGGTGTTTCAGTACAAAAATTAATCGAATTTGAAAATCCAGACGCAAATAGACAAATCTAAACACGGAAATGGTATTGAGAAATAACTAAAATATCTATGGCCCCGTATATATTGATTTTTTTTTTTTTTGACAACCATTCGGTTTTGTACAAATCCATAAATTTATCCAAATTGATTGTTCCATTGTTTTTTCATGATTAAATTGTTCCATAATTTAGAAGCGAATAAGTCATGAGTAAACCTTGTATATAATACAAAAGAAACTATGGTTTGTACATAAATTTCAACATTATTCAATTCAACAACACCATTAATTTGATATATTTATATAGAAATGTTCACTTACCTGAATGAAGAAACGCATATTCATTAATTGTATTCCACCTAATGTTAGTCCTAGGCGTTTATTGTTATGCATTCTTTCAATATAATTACTATGACGTAATCGTAATTGAATGGGCTCATATTTATAATAATGTGCAAACAAATAAATTAATGGTCGTGAACATTTATGAATTTTTATCGTATAAATAGTACATAATAAATGAACGATGAAAAAGCCGATTATTTGTTGCAAAATGACCAATGTACAGAAAAAGTATAGGCCTTTCTGTTCAATTAATTGATTTTTACGTAGAAAAAATGTGGTGATAATTAACAATAAATTCATCGGTAGATTAGCTAGTAAATAACCGGTGAATAAATCCGATTCATATGATCCAACACGATTCATATGATCCAATGTGTGGCCATGTAAATGAAAAAAATATAACAATGTTTTACGATATTCAATTGGATTCATTTTGATTTTCGTTCGTTGTTGAACAATATTCAATATTTGATTGATTTGATCTAATTTCAAGAAAAATGTATAACTAATGAATACAAAGAGATAAATGATAAACATATAACAATGAGCCATCATAATATTAGCACAATCAAACATGATAACATTGATGAATAATATGGTTATTCTTAGGACAATCTTCACATATCTTATTATGATCATCCATATTGATGATTCATAATATTGGTCCATAACGAGAAAATAATCACGTTCAGTGTATACAATAAAATTGATGGCTATATACAATGAATAGAGTGTAAACAAATCTAAAAATGAGCAAATATTAATATTGAATTGAAATCAAACAAAAAAAAAAAGAAAAACAAACCTAAACATATGACAAAAATTTGATTCTGCATTATTGATTCGTTCAATTTACCACGAATATAACAACAAACATTGTTTTGTTTATGATTCTTATGGATAAAATAACGACAATCTTTTTTAAATACAATCCAATTGATCATTGTTGATAGTCGTTCAGGTAATTCATAATAAAGTTTTTTAAGCAAATAAATTCCCAATATGGTCACTATTATGGCCAATATGTTCATTAAATTGCTCATATTGTACAAATAGAATATATCAAACATAACGATACGTTGTTTATGTGATAAAGGCATTGCATATATGAAGCCATAACGGATCAATTCTAGAATCTGGTACCAAATTAATTTATTGATTAATCGAGCCGAATCACATGAACTAGATTGGCCATCGTTTTTTATCATCAGACGAATATCTTTAGTTCGATGCAGATAAACGCTCATACAATCTAGATTCTTATATGGAAACATTTCCATGATGAACCAACGTATGATCGACATTTTTGATGTGTGGTGTTTTGTTGTGGATGAATTTTAACGAATGAACAAATTCTTGATCGTTGAGTGTGGTATAAATTCAAATTTACAGTAGTAACTATGAGAATTTTAATTGTTTGATGAATTCAGTGTGTGTGTGTGTGTGTGTGTGTGTGTGTGAGTGTGGTTGCTTAATTTTTGTTTAACTATTAGAATGTCAAATATTCAATTATTCATTGTCAAAAGAATCGACAATTTTAAGCTCCATTTTGATGAATTCCAATGAATACAAACATTGCCAAAAAAAAAAAAAAATTTGAGTAATTAAAGTTGAAAATGGAAAATTCATCATAATAATAATAACTACTATACAACTATACATCTACATGTGTTCATTGTGTGTGTGTGTGGGCACCTGGACCACCTTAAAACATTTTTTTGTTTTGTTTTTTTTGATTACCCGCAGAGTGAAATTGATCGATTTGAATTGACTAATATTTAATCATGGTTTGAATTTAATGAATGTATTGTTTCAACAACAACAACAACAAAAAAAACAATGGAGAGAAAAGAAAAGTTTAAACATAGCAAAACACAAAATATCATGAAATGAAAGTGATGAAATTGAAAAAAAAATTTACATAAATGGTAATCATTACTGCTACTACTGACATTTATCAGACGAATAATAATTCTTTAAAGTTTAATCGAAAAATAATTACTTTTTTTTTGGTTGTTTCATCATCATAGCACCAAAGTTTTCAATTATTACAATTTGAATCTAATTGGAAATTGAAATTTTTTTTTTTTGTTTTTTGTTGGCCAGAATCTGCTGGTTGTTTTCAATTTTAAATACATTTTATTATTATTATTATTATCATTGGTGGCCACAGACAGACTTGAATGAAAGAAAATGAAAAATTTTCGAGATAATAATCAAATTCTTAAAAACTTGAAATTGATAATCGATCCGAACCGAACCGAAACAAAAAAAAAAATGGTGGTGGTGGTGGCCCTATCAATCATCATTTGTGTGTGTGTGTGTGTGTGTTTGTTCATTTCATGGACAAGTTATGAATGTATAATGAGACACCAATAATAGCGCCTCATAAGCACGGATGAGATCGATAACAATCAACGCTATCATTTATAATATATGTAAATGATTGGCCAATGGAAAAAAAGTGATCCATTTCAGATTAGACATTTAATTTTTAGGGTCTTGTTTTCAGGTATGAAATTTGTATACAAACAAAAGAAAAATAGAATGTCGAATCATGGTTCCAAAGAAAAAAGAAAAAAAAACACCACCAATCGATTTTTAAATCGCTGCACGTGTTCTAAATTTTTTTGTTTTGTTTTTTGTGATTCATTGGTCAATTTGTTGTTGTTGAGTAACGAAATTATGTATGGCGCTGTAGAATGATGATGATGATAAGTTTTATTGTTGTTGTTGTTGTTGTTGTTGTTATGGCTGACATCACGAACAATTTTTTTTGTGTCACGTGAAAAATAGATTAGACCTAAAATTGATGTGATCGCTAAACAATGGTTTGTTTATTTGTTTGTTTTTCTCAGTTTGGTTCAATTTTGCTTTTGGCCAAAAAACATGGTCAAAACAAAAATATTTTCGTGACTTGAAATCATTGATGTTTTGTGATTTTTTTTTTGTTGTTGTTGTTGTTGTTGGGCCATGATTTACTGATTTTTTTTTCTTTATTCTGGCCAAACATCACATTATTTATGCAGGTTTTTTCTCTCTTTTCCATGATGGTTTGGTTTCACTTTAAATGGATCATTTATATTATTTACTTGATGACTATTGGTGATTTGTGGATTTTAATTAATTTTCATTTTTTTTAACCAGAGAAGCTGAAATGGAAGTTTTTTCCAATAAAAATCTAAAAAAGCAAAATTTATCTGCCAAAAATGTAAATGTGCAATATTTATGTGTAATACAAAATGAATGAATCCACATCGATATGATCAGCATGAGATTTTTTGTTTTTCTTCCAAATTTCGTCTAAATTTATTATTATTGTCACGTTATATTTAATGTTGACGATGTCAAATATGTGTTCGATGTGTGTGTGTGTGTGTATGACAGATTCTATGGAATCAAGAAAAAAAATTGCTCAATTTACACCCAACTTGACAAAAAGAGAAATGATCATGCCATGGTCATGATCATGACATGTAAGGTAAGATCGAAGGTGTTTGTTGTTAACCATGTTTAAATGTTCGACAAGAATCTTTGATGGTCGGATGATGATGATTATGATGATGATGGTAATGGTTAGCTGTGTGTGTGTGTGTGTGTGTGTGTGTTTGCCCATGACCACCATTATATACGATTGATATTGGAAGACGACAACTATGAGCCAATCAATTTAATGGCACCAATTATTTCTATTTTAAGAACTAACTTTTAAAAATCTATGGAACATTTATCATTTATAATGGTTATTGTTGTTGTTGTTGTTGTTGACCATTTATTGGTCATCAAAATGTAGGCTTTTTTCTATCAATTCTTCAATTACTACATACATACACACACACACAGGTAGTTTGATTGGACCAAATAACAACAACAAGGTCCATCTTTGGTCTTGGCACATAAACAAATCAACAAAAACGGGTGCTACACATACACAAAATTTTAGATTTTTTACTTTAATGGGGAGCAATAAATCTTGTTGTCTATTTAAGTGTGTGTGTGTGTGTGTGTGTGTGTGTGTAGGTCATTTTTGGCAATTGTTGTAGATATCTTAAAATTGGGGACAAGATGATGATGATGATCAAGATCATGATTATTATGATGATCATTGCTAATTCTGAACAATTGCAATTGATTGCTTTTTTTTTCTTTAGGAATAATTATGCTTGACCAATGTTCTCCATACACACACACACAAAACAAATTTTTAGTGTTTTTTTTCTTGATTGTTTGATCCGAATCAAAAATTTAAAGAAAAAAAGATAAATAAATTCATTCATTCTCATTGCTTACTTTGTGAAAGAATAACAAAAAAAAAAAAAATACCGTCAACATAAAAAAAGTACCGTATAATTTTGAGTAATAAAAAAAAAAAAAATTGTCCCGTAATGGGCAGCAATCAATCTCTGCCCATAGTAGTATAGTCTCAGACACATTTCTTTTGGCTGTCATTCATTTTTCAGTTGGATTATTCGACAATATAGCGACAACAACATTTGTTATGGGTGCTTATTAACCAGAAGCACATGCGAATAATCTAAGATGATAAAAGTTTTCATTTAAATTTCAAAAATTTTGATGCATTGATTGTGTTTTTTTGATTGTTGTTGTTGTTGATGATGATGATGATGTTAATCATGTAGAAAATGGCCAACAACAACAACAACAACAAAAAAATTACTCAAATGTCCGACACCAAAGTATCCGTGTGTGTGTGTGTTTGTGTGCGTAAACAGCAGAAGACAACAATAATAACAAGCCCCTTTTTAAATATAACAAGAACTGATCTGATTACAATAATCATCATCAATGATGATGATGATGGTCATCGCGTCATCGGTAAGAAAAAAAAAATGGCCAGAAAAAAAAAAAATACCAGCCATATATCCAAAGTCCATTGTTCTTTATTTTTTTGAAACAATTGAATTTAGTGTGTGTATGTATTCGCCCAACAACAACAACAACAACAACAAAAAACAATTCACTTTATCCTATCTATCTATCTGAATGACTAAAGAATGCGTAGGTTTCAATTAAATCGTTATGTTTTACTAGTCGTTGGCTAATTACTTATGACAAGAGATATTCAAACTGAATTGAATCAAAAAAAAAAATTCGATAGATTGGAATTCATTTTTTTTTCACCCAAAAATATCCAGAAAACTTTGGCCATATTTTACCACTTGAGAAAAAAAATAATAAGATGATTAACCATTGATTCTGCTGTTGTTGTTGTTGTTGTTGTTGGCGCTTTTAGTATATAAATTCAGGCTACTGACTTCAGCCTGATTTTATTTGATGGTCATCGCCATTGCTGCAAAAAAAAAAAAAAACAATTCAAGGCGTTGTTTCACCATAACAAAGTTAATGGACCTTTATATTGCCATCAAGATGCTTTGAATCTTTTGAATGAATGAATGATTGAATTGTTGATAATGAACATCATGAACAACAAAAAAAAGAACAGAACAGAACATTCATTCATTTAGAAATTGCATTCTAATTACCTTTTGAAATTGGCTATAAAAGAAAAGAAGAATAAAGAATTTTAAAATTCAAGACAATCCAATGTGTGATGATGATGATGATGATGATGATGGGATGCCCGATTTAATCACGATTTATTCACGATTCATCATAATCATCATCATGGATGCTGGAAACATCAGAAGCTTCAAAGCTCCACACCTCAAACCAATGTATTCTGAAATGGAGACAAATTTGCATTCAAAAAAAAAAAAAAAAATTTTTTTTCTTTGGTTTCCTGTTGGGCTGTTGTATGCATTCACATAATTACATTCATTCAACCTCCGCAAATCACAACAAATGGTCATCATCATCATCATCATCATCTATCTATCTAATCATTGATCGATAATGGTCATTATTACACAGAAGAAGAAGAAGAAGAAGAAGAGAAACAATAAAACAAAAATAGACCACCATCATCGTTGTTGATCATCAACAATAACAACAACTTGTTGATATGATGTTCATTTTGTTAATCAACATTTTTTTTTTTGGCTACGGTAATTCATCAAGATTCATACTGGCCATTGCCATTATTATCATCATCGATCAAGACCATTGTGTCCAGACACAGGATTGATCCAACAACAACAACAACAAATACAAATAAAAAATAAATATGCAGGTTCATTTCTTGTCTATCTAAATCTTTGCCTGTCTTTTTGTCATTTTGTTTTGTTTTGTTTCGTTTTCATTTTTTGTTTTGTTTTTTTTCTAGTCTATGAAATTCACATTCACTATTTGAATGTTATTGAACTATATTGAAGAACGTGAAATTTTTTTTTCATTTTCATTTATCCATTTACTCGTGAACAACAACAACAACGACGACGACGACAACAACAACAAGATACCGAAGAAACCAAATTGCCAAATAGTGGTGGTTACACGCGCTTTCAAAAGGTCATTGGGTATAGCCATCATCATCATCATCATCATCATTTGAGTTTTGAACCGCACATGATTACTCTCTTTGGACAATATACGATGATTGACCATAACATAACATGTGTGGGACAACAACAACAACAACAACAACAAAACCATATGCCAGATGCCTGTCTGAAATGGCCTCAATCCCCCTTACTTATTACAAATGGTCTTTGTGGTGGTCTTTCCACACACACACACACACACAGGTAACTTGTGTGCAAATCTTTCAAAATTTTTTTTTTTCATTCCAACAATAAACGTAAGAAGAAACCAGAGAGAGCGTGAGAATGGAATTTCGGTTATTTAGATGTGTCCAGATGATTGACTATTAGTTTCATTCAAAAATCATAATATATTATATTGAATTATTATCGTTGTTGCACATGTTGTTTGTTCCATCATAATCATGATGCATGCATGTGTGTGTGTGTGTATGGAAATGGGGGTGTATAAAAACCAGATGACCATTGAACCACTCGATAAATACAAGCATTACATTATAACAACTTATCATCACGATATAAATTATAATTTTTAAATAATAACCATTGGCGTTCTAGTTGTCCATTGTTTCACATAGATGGCATTGTTTTTAAATAGTTTCTTGATCCGTTTTTTCTATTTTATTTCTATGGATTCATAATAACCATAACAGTGAACAGTGAACAGATTCATTCAAGTACATTCAATCAATACTGTTCGATAACATTGATCAATAACTATGAATGATGACCATTTAATCACCACAGCTTGACCACCACCATGGTGTGTGGTGTATTTGAGTATATAATAAATAAATAAATATAAATCCCAAATAATCTGTCTATTATTCACACTACAGATCATTTAATCGGGTTGTGATCAGACAATTTATATATATATAAGTTATAAGAGCTTTGAGCTTATAAACACCCACCCACACACACACACACACACACATTGTCGCCAGACTATTCAATGATAATGGGGTAAAAAAAAAATCTGTGCCGTGTTTAACAACAAAAAGAACAGTACAATGATTGTACGTGATCAATATGGCTAGGTTACGATTTGATTCGCATTTATACTTGTGTATATGTTCTTTTCATGGTTAACGGGGTAAATTGTATTGCATTTTTTTTTGTTGTTGTTGTTGTTGTTGTTCTGTATAGTAAATTATCGTTGGATTTCATTTTTTTTTTTTTTAGTACAATCATCCAACGACTCTGTGTGTTCAACAGATTACATTTATTATGATCTCAATTCTTTAGCCATCCTAAATAGGTGATTCATTCACATTCATTTTTTTTCATAGTGCAATAATAATAATGATCGAACATTTTTTCAATTATTTGAACCAATTCTGGTTCGTACATCGATTGATTTTTATTGATTATCCAAATTATTTACGTACAGAAATCGATACGACCATCATCGAACTGTTGATTCAATGTTTGTGGAAATTATTTTTGGATAATAATTTTTTCATTCGACCAGCATTTATTTTATCATTAAGTTTGTTCATAGTATCATTCATAAGAAGCACTGTGGTAACATCGATTGTTTCCAGATTTGTTCAAAATGGAATAGTGGCCGAAAATGATGCACGAAAATTTTATGAATGTTTCTGGTGTTTTCTATGTCACTTGTTAACATTCGCAGTGACATGGATAGTGGTCAACAGTAACAATTGTTTATTGGATCCGAAACAATTTTGGTCAGATATGAATCGTCAATCGATACCCATTTTGTATGGATTCATTTTTGCATTCAAAACCAGTTTCTATATTGATTCTACATATTCAATGATGTATGTGTATGTTAGTGAAAAAATGACACCAATCTATATGATACATCATATGACAACCATATCGTTATTAATATTAAGCTATATGACCAAAAATTATCTCAATGGTATCACTATTATCTATCTATTTGGCCAGGATACATTGCTTATGCAATTCAGTAAATGTATCATCAGAATTCAATTGCAAATCATTCAACGTAATAGAAACTTGGTTCGTAGAATTTTATTCTATGGATTTGCCACTCTTTGGATGTATAATCGTATATATCGTTATCCATTGATCATTATACCAGAATTGGCATTATTTGCATCGAAAAATTTCCATCTAGATTGGAGCATATTGGGCTATATATTGATTCTATTATTATGGATAATTTTAGTGGTCAGTCTTTTTTGGACAGTGTTTATTGTCAAAATTGTATCAAGTACATTGTTGGATCAAAAAGATATCTATCATTTGGATGTACAGGATAGCGAACAACAACAACAACAACAGCAACAACAACAGAAAAACGCAGCAGCAGCAGCAACAGCGGACAAAATACAACAAACATGAATGAACCAAAATTTTTCATTTTAAAATGTGCTAATCATATATAAATTTGAATTGTGAAAATAAATATCACCCTATTATCATATATCAATATATCCACATAGAATTTGCATTTACAATTATGATTATTGTAGCTAATAATCACAACAAAACTTATGGCTATGGGCTAGGTCAGGCCCATTTTTTTTTATTTTCTCTGATATCTGGTAACCACACATTTATACAGGACCTAAGTATTTGATGATTATTGGTTGTGTAATATAATTTCCACTTTTCATCACACAAGATGTGGATGATTAATTGTGCACACCTATGATGTTGATGATGACGATGATGTTGATGATGTGATTTGTTCATTGAGAATGGCATATAATGCATCTACTACTCGATATATCTAACAAATTATCAGCTCTAAATTATAGTCATATTGTACAAAATGAACAAATTGTTTATGATCAACAATGGAGAACAAACACACAAACTAGCACACACTATGGTTTCCAATTACAATGATGTAAAGTAATAATTGAGGATCGGTCATCATCATTCTTGTTCATTTGACCAATGGCCAATATTTAAAGATTAAATCTAGTGATGATGATAATGGTCAGCATTATCATCATCATCATCATATCCGCTTTGCCATTGTGGTCTCATCATCATCATCATCATCATGGATTATGAGATTGTTTGTGTGTATTGTTTATTTCGATGGTTTTGTGTTGATGGCAAGGTGTTAATGTGTGTTTTGTGTATATATGTTTTTTTTTGGTGTGTTTGTGTGCGTGCATAAGAATAATAATGATGACTATATGAGTATATAACAAGGTCTGTTTCATATATAGAAATATAGAGATTTAATATTGAAATGAAAAAAAAAAACAACACACGAAAACATGAATGCGTGGGCCACGTTGTTGTTGTTGTTGTTGTTATTTTTTTTTCTTCTTCGATCGACCATCACAAACGCATAAATCATAAGCTTAACCTGATTTGAATGGCCTTCATGTATAAATGACTTGAATGTTTTTTTCAACAACAACAACAACAACAACAACAGCAAAAAAAAACATTCCATTGCATCTCCATGTGAAACATAAAAAGCTTCAATGGAAACAAGCACCAAAAAAATAAAATTTTATCTTTACATACATCATTTTCACCAGTGAATTATGGCCCAAACTTTGGCATATTCATATCGGTTTTTTTATCTTTACAAAAAAAAATCATTCAATGATGATCATCTGGTAATGAGTTGTGTTTATTATTTTCATTTATCGTTATCGTTATATAATTAATTCCTTTGTTTTAGTGTTTGAACATTTAGATTCAACCTTGAAATCTAGAGATTGTTGTTGTTATTGCCTCAAACCCTTCGCATAAATAACTCTATATATAATCATCATCATCATCATCATCATGTATTTTAATGGTATTTGGAGCCATCAAAACAAAACTAGTAATTTGGATCGACCATAAATTCTTACGAATTGTTTTTGTGTTTTTTTTTATGTTGATGATGATGATGATGATGTGTGATGACAGCCTGTCATTACATAATGATGACATGTGAAAAAAAAATGAAAGGCCCAAGGTAATAATTGTGTGTTGTTGATTAGAACCCTAGAATTATGTAAAAAAAAATGTAGCCATGCCATGTTTTTTTTGTTTATACCATTGTTGATTTATCATTGATGATGATGATTAGATAATTGATCTAATCATCATCGACAATGTTGCTGTCACCAGCTGTAATTATGCAATGGAAAAATTATTTTAAAGAATTTGATCTCTCAATTGCGAAACGCAAAAATCATTACATCACTCTCCTTCCTTCACCTCCCCAAAAAAAAAAAAAAAAAATACTCAAGTTCAAGTGATTGGAATGTTTGTTCACATACAGCGAGAGAAATAGAGAAAAACAGAAAAACCAATCAAATCAAACATCGATAACCGAAACCAAATGAAAGAATATAGCCAATCGATTCGGTAAGGTCAATCCTAATGGCCACTGAATTGATCATAGTGTCAAGTTGATACTACCTACTCGACTTTTTCTTTTTCTTTTTACGACAAGTTGTTGTATATGGTTGTCAAACATATTTGCCTTACATGCATAGATAATAGTTAGTCAGGCCTACTTATAGGTTCCCAAAAAACAGCCCTAAACAGCGATGGGCATCAATAAATTTTTTTTTATCTCAATTGATTTTTGGAACCAAACCGAATCGATTTTTGATTTTTTTTTATCATGTTTGTTGTTTACACACACACACATCGATTTTCGTATTTCAATATACGACTGATAGAATAAGAAGTTATATTCCAATTTTCGAAAACTAATGGTTCCGATTCAAAAAATGAAAACACCAATTTGAACCAGAAAATGTTCCATTTGAACATATGCCATGAAAATGGCATATCATTGAATGACATTTGTTATATGCATTCATGCATGGGTAGTAGCAAGCAGATCAAAACCAAACTATAGATTGACTAAACTGAATGAACCATATCAAATTGGCGGTCAAAAAAAAAAAAAAAATTCGTTATGGTTGATCATTGTCATCATCATCATCATCATCGGTTGAACAAAATTGGAACAAATGACAATAGTGGTCATCTTGGAATGTATGTGTGAATTTCTTTCTATAAGTTTGATATTTATTTAAAAGATATTTTCGATTCATAATCACATTTTTTTTTTTGATCATTTTGGTGACACATGTGTTTATGTGTGGACCATATGTTAGCCTTATCGATACAAAAAATATATGACCAATTGGTCACGGAATCGAATTGATGATGATGATGATGATGATCCAAAACCAAACAAAATTGACTATTAGAAACGTTGGTCATTGCTGGTTGTTGTTTAGTTTTTTTTGGCCATGTGTATGTTTGTGTATTGGCAATGGCCAGGGTCACGATTCAAAATCTGATTGTTGCCCATTAACGAAAGAGCAGCAATAACTAATTGTTAGCCATTGGGTGATTATCATCAAATTATCGACCAATTATCAAACTATGTTTTTTTTTGTGCGTGTATGTGTGTGATCATGTAATGAACCAATAAACCAAACTAGATATAAGCGATGGCAGCGGCAACTACACTTGACATCACGATCAAATTCTCGACAATGATGATTTCGACAGTTTGACGCTTCTAGCTAGTTACAAATAGTAACAAGTTTGCTAGATAGAAAAAAAAAATGAAATTCGTGCCACAAATTCACAGCTTTTTGATTTGATTTGAATGATAATAATTATGATGATCCGACAGGTGATAAGTAGGTGTCGATCACGAACAATCATTCGATCATAAAAAAAAAAAAATAAGAGTAGGCCAGTAGCGCGTGAATCCGGTACGTGATTTTTGCCATTTCCGTTTAATGTGAGCAGATGATTTTGTTTTGGGTGGTTACAACAAAAAAAAAAAAAAAATTCGTATGCAGCAATCAAATTATTTGTCATGATTAATCGATGATCAATGAATCGAACTGAACTAGTCATGAATTAAATTAATGATGAACACAGACAGAATTGATCTTTTTTTCGAATATATGAATCGAATGACAAAATGAATTATTCATGGTCAAAAAGAACAAAATCATCATTTCAGAATGATTTGAATGCCCACTATACATACAAACGGCTGTAACATATGGGCTAAATTGGTTTTTTTTTTGAAATTGATACAAGTAGCCATCTAATATAATGTCGTCGTTCATCAAGTGTCATTTGATTGGTTGTTTGAATCATCAAATTTCTATGTAATGAAAGAAAAATTTTTTATTCATTGAATTCACTGAACAATTGACAAAGCAAATTTTTCTTCACCAAAAAAAATGATATAGCCGCTTTACCAAATATATAATAAATAAATTTGTTTAAAATGAATGAAACGGAAAAAAAACGGTGGCGACATTGCAAGAAAAAAAATTGACTTTTCTTTTTTTTTTTTTTCGATGACAGTTTTTCTGTTGTTAGTTATGAATGAATCAATGAATATGAGCCTCCAAATGTCACACATATTTAGCTGCTGCTTTCAGTCAGTCAGTATGTAGTTTCGGCATTCATATATGTGACACACACACACACAGAGAGAGAAGATACACAGAAGTCAATAAGTCGAATAATGAGTATATATCACAATATATACTTTGTGAACAATTGAAAATCGATCAACAAAAGTCAATCTTTACCTATTCTGTATATCGGATATATATACACTCCAAGTCGAGAGTTTTTTTCTATAGTGTGTAGTATAGTGTGTTTATGTATGCATGACAAAAACAAAAAACAATCCGAAATCGAATAATGGACCAAAACCGTTTCGGTATAAATAATTCACAAATTTTCGATTCATTGATCACATGAAGAAAAATTTTCCGCCATTCATTCAAGTTCATGTATGTATGTTATGTTTCGAGAAGCCTACTACAAATCAATAATTTTTTTTTTTAAATTTTATTTCACATTTAGCCAATTCTTTATTTTGTGCGATTAATAATAAAAATACGGAAAAGTGCCAAACGAGACACCGTTTTTTTTTGTCATTCACATGGCATATTTTGTTTGTTTGTTTGAATGAATGAAAAAAAAAATAGAAAATTATTTACGAATACGTGGTCACCAGATTTTTATTCTCACTATGTCTGTCTCTCACTAAAATTGCAATTAACTCGAGGCGGGAATGATGGTAGTTTGTTCATTGAAACCGCCATGGACAATAATAATAATAATCATGTCGATTTGTGGCGGGGGGTGAAAAGGGATCTGTTCATTCAATTTTTGGCCATTTAATCGATCAATATATAATGATGACGACAATGACAATGGTGAATCAAACAAAAAAAAAAAAAGAATGGTCAATCCAAAGGCGACAAATATCCGATAGAGTGAGGGCAAAATATATCAGAACAAAGCCGGCAAAAGATTCGATTTGATTTTCACTCGAAATTTTGGATATGGATGACCATCGGAGAGAAACAAACGAAAAAAAGAAATGAAAAATAGAAAGGTGTGATCTCGACAACTTTCATCGATAACAAGTTTCTTTGGTTTTTTTTGGAACATTTTCAAAAAAAAAATTGACACCCCAGTGTGGCTATTTCCAAATGCTCATCATCATCATCATCGATTGAATGATCATGGCCAATCAATTCATAGCTACATTTGATTCACCAACAATGACGGAATTGATTGATCTTGTTCAACATGATTATTGTTGTTATTCCAAATTATAATTAGCCGACCATCAACGATATGTTTGACCCTGATTTAAACTCAACAAAAAAATCGAAAAATACATTCTGGTCCATTATGATGATGATGATGATGATGAAATATGGCCGACATGGTTATATATAATGTATAGTCATCAATAGTGGTGATTACTGACACATTCATTTTGGTCAACGATAGCCAGAAGCAGCAGCAACAATAAAATAGGTGCAGTCCTGAAACGAAAAATTAGCCTCTAAATAGACCTAGCCAAATACATTCATTGGACCTCAAACACCTTTATTGATTATCATCACCTGCTCGTCGTCGCCGTCGTCGTCATCGTTGGCTTCCCCATTTGTCACGTCCCCTTTTGTTCGTACGTGATTTTGTTTATACGATTTGTTTTTGGATGATTTTTAAACTATTTTTTTTGCCTTTGTAATTTCAGATTATCCAGAATAAAAAAAAAAAATGCGACACTATTCAAATGCATAGGCCAATCACATCTTTTTACATCATCAGTCTGTAGTGGTATTGGTATCGAAAATTCGTTACTGGCCAGTTTTTTTTTTTTGTTGTTGCTATCAACAACGATCAAAAACGATTAATCTAATTGTAAATCGAATGTCAATACAACAATTTTCCAAGTGTAGGTAGTGAGTGGGCAACATATATACAGGTGTGTTATTCATAATAATAATAAATAAAACAAATAAACTCATTGGCCAAGTGTGTGTGTGTGTGTGTGACAAATCGATGATGAGAGCATGAAATAATTGAACAGCAGTTGGCTGATTGATGATGAAAACTTTTAGAGTTTTAGTTTTTTAGTATTATATAGAAATTAATTAACAATCACCTTCTACTACTTCTAAAGTTCTTACTCTCTGCATGATATGGGTGCAAAACCCTCTTAATATTTGCCAGTAGCTATAGCTAACTAAATATAGCTAGCAAGCATCAATTAATTGAATTATAATCCAAACAAGAATGTGTGTATATATAACTTTGAAATTGATTGAATCTTGAATCTTGAATCTTGATGCAAAAATGCAAATGTCGGCCATATTGGTCATGTCTTATGTAATATATGCTGGTGAATGCCAATATTTTCATATAGATGACTTTCTTTTTTTGGTTCATTAATCTTCGGTTATCTATTCGTACGAATCTCACTTGAATTTCTTTTTGATTGCTTGAATATGTTTCGATTAATTGATTAGCGTTAGGATTAATTTAAATATATAAATTCCATGCACATACATCATTCTTGCTAGTTTTTTTTTTGCTTGTTCACACAAGAAAAAGATTGATTGTGATAGATCCACAGATAATTTTTGTTGCTCGTATATCACAGGTGTGAGAGTTGGTCAACAAGAAAAAAAAAATTTTCAGATTGCCAAGATTGCCAAAAAAAATGTTCGACTTGTTGTTGCATTCGTATGGTTTTTGTCTTTTTTTTTTGCTCACAGTTAATATTTGACAGCTCAATAGTGAGAATCTATCAATTATTCGGATATATCGATTATTATTGATCAGAACTGTGTGTGTGTTGTGTGTGTGTGTTTTATAAGTTCAATAAGCCAATCATTATCAATGACAGTTCAATAAATAATAATTGCCATTCAAAATAAATTTGATCAATAGAATCTATCAATCGCCGATTGATATGGTCTCTAGGTCATTGTTGTTGTGAGTGGATGATAATAATTTTCTCACTTGACCAATGACCATTATTATTATTATTACTTGAAATGGCCCCTATGGCAACATTATCTGGTATATATTATTTTTGTAATTAATTTCAGTAACAACAACAACATGGTCTAGTATGGTAGTGTGAAACAATTCACACTTGACAAATTAATAGCTACCAACACCACCACCACCATCATCATCTATCTATCAGATGAATATTAGAAAAAAAAGAAGAAGAAATCAGACCTGCCAAAAACCTAGGCCATGAAGATGATGATCAATCACCATTTTTTTTTCTAGAATCCATTTTCAAATTCTGCAAAACACACACACAGATATACACATGATCATTATAATCATAACACAAGATGATGATTCACATAGATTGATCGTCACAGCCTGGTCAATTTATATTTTATTTTATTTTCTTGTTCAAGACAATGAAAATGTTTTTTTCTGTTCTGTTCTGTTCTGTTTTCAAATTTTTTTTTTTGTACATTGAAATAAATTGTTATTTTGTTTATCTTTTTTTTTCTTTTGTTCACGATAGGTTTTTTTTTTTACTATAGTGTCAGTCTCATTGAGTGGCCCTGTGTGTGTGTGTTAATTTAAAAATTAAATATTGACTCTCTCACCTCTCATATGGTCTCCATACACTATAGATGATTTTTTTACACACTTTCAAAGTCAATTGAGAATTGAAGAGATGGCCATTTCTTGATGCATTTTTTTTTCTCGCAAAAATATGACGGCAGACGAAAACCTTGTTGATTGTCGGAGCTTCTTTTTTCTTTTTCTTCTCTTCTTCGAAGTTATCGATTAATATATATATTTGACTAAATCAACAAACAACGATGAAATGTGTGATGATGAAAAATGGGGGTGAAACGATGGGGAATGTGACTTAACTGAATGTTTATTTAGCTCCTGCGTTGGTGTTTTATTCGTTTCGCTTTATTTACAACAAAAAAAATTTCGGCGCCATCATAACCAATCCTACAATTTCCAATGAATCAAGGAGTTGCCAATTTCAGTTTAGTTTATATATTTTTTAGTTCAAATGAGATGAAAAAAAAACTAAAAATTACCGATTGATTTGCATCGAAATCTATGTGATTCAAATTTAGATATTCTGCATTTATCATGGCCACCATTTTGAATTATGAAAACGGCTTCATTACAGATGCCGCTATCATCATAATTCATGAATTAAATAAAAAAAATACCAACAAACAGACAATTTTTTCGGTTGACCGGCTTATGAATGATAAAAAAAATAGCAATCAAATCATATGAATTATGATTAACACACCTACTCTTCCACCCTCAACACCACATGTTGATCATCATCATTTGATTGATCAAAAAAAAAAAAATTTTTGTCTTTGGTATATGTGTGTGTGGTGGCCAAGGGTTTTTTTAGATTATCATTCACACTCACACACACACACAGGTGATCACGGAACTTGAAATCATTCTCAAATTTTATTTGAAAAAAAAGTGAAAAAAAATATGAAATTCTATGTTCATTGCTGGAGGTCAGGTGAGAATTACCATCAATTATGAACGGCATCATAATCATCATCATCATCATCATCATCATCGATGTTTGAATCGGATCTTGGATATATCATATAAATTAAGATGTCAGAATAATTGTTGATGATTGACATTTTATGTATGTGTATTATATATATGAATTATTTCATAAAAGTCAACAACAACAACAACATTTTGGCTAAATCAAATTGTTGGCTACATGCTGACAAACACACACACACACATACTCATGGTCATCATTTGGCTTATGACAAATGATCTTTTCTCATACTATTTTTTTTCATGTCTCTCTCTTTCTCTCTCTGTAAACTGTTTGAATCCACACGAATAACCGCCAACAATAATCATCATTTTTTTCCGTTTATATTCCCAACATCAAGCTTATCTTGTCAAAAATTCCTTGGTTCTCTAGAAAAAAAAATAACTTTAAGAAGTGTCTATTCGATATGAGAACATAATTCATGATTATATTATACAAACGAAACAAGATTTTGACTAATTGTTGTTGTTGTTGTATATATCTATCGGTCGCGTTATCATCATTATGATTTTGGCAGCTCATTTTCATTCTTGTGGTGCTATACCTGTTCATTTGTACATTATTTATCTTTACTAATCTGGATCGTGTGGTCAAAACTCAGACACGATCGACATTTACAACAACAAAAAAAAAATTACATGTCATCGTCAACGACCAAATTAATGGGCCGTTGGCGTGATATGATCATCATTTTATATTGTGTGTGTGTGTGTGTATGTGTGTCTGCATGATCGTTTTTTGACCATTAATTGAGCGATTAATTTGGTAAAAACAAATCGGCTTATGTCAATTATATATTTGAGAGCTTTTTTCTTTAATAAGATGACCAGCAAACACACTCCCTCATCACATGTACACGCAAAAAAAATGTGAACAATTTTTTAAATAATGTTTGTCTTGTTACGACGGTTCTTTGTGCTATTGTTTGTTGTTGTTGTTGTTGGCCATAAATGGATGTTCACCAATCTGTTCGATTGTGGCTCGTTTTGTTGGCTGTATGGCCAACATCCATGATAGACAATCTCGACAATCAGAGCTTAATCGATAATTATAATTTCGAAGTCTTTTTTCAATATTTCTACCATATATTTGCGTGTACAATACATCATTACGATATTGTTGTTGCCATTCGTTGGATGGTTCAAATATTCTTTTCAATGCTTGCAGTCGTTCCTGTTTTGTATTGAAACGTACAACATCCAATGGATAGAAACCATGTAATGTATAGAATAGACAAACGCCTAATGCCCAAACATCACCTTTATATGCACAATATGGACTAATCATATCGATATTTTTTTTCGAATAAAAATAATATGAACGTAAAATTTCTGGCGCCATATAGATAGATGTGCCCACCGGTTTGAAGAATATTTCTCGTTCATCGTTGCTGTTGTTAATATCTGTTGAACTTTCATCATTACGATGATCAAGCAACGTACTTAGACCAAAATCACATAGTTTGACTATATAATTAAAACGTTGATCAATTTTTCGATGATGATTATTGTTAGTAGAAAAAGATGGTCGATGTAATAGCATATTGCTCAGTTTTATATCCCGATGTACGATTCGTTGTTGATGCAGAAATCGAACGGCACTCACCATATCGGCAAACACTAAACGGCATATATTTTCATTTAATTTCCGGTAATTTTTAGATATTGACTTAATGTCTGTGAATTGGCATATTCCATGATAATGAAACAACATTTATATAATGGTGGATTCTGTTGTTGTTGTTGTTGTTGTCCGATAGCCACAGCCGCCGCTGCTTCATCACCAGCCGATTTATCGGTTGAATCACAATGGTTGATTATTACTTGATGATCATGATCATCGAATGGGCAATCATTTTCAAAATAATCAATCAATGTGACAATATTTTCATGGCGACTAGCACGACGCATTATATTTACTTCACTATAGAATCGTGATTTCATTTTAATCGTATTGAGTATATTGTTATTTTTATGTTGTTGTTGTTGTGATTGCGCATTCAATTTTTGCATTACATTCGATATCACTTTACATGCATAATGAATACCATTACGTTCAATACGGAATACTAAACCAAAACCTCCTTTGGCTAGAAACCAATTACTATCATTAGTTTCATATCCATTTTTATGTAAACATTTACGATACATTTGATTAGTCAGATATTCAAGCTGTTTATCATGTTTATCAATTTTTTCATGCCATAAATTCTTAACAACAGGAGGAGAAGTTCGATCAGATCCAGAATTTTCATCATCAAGTAGTTTTATACCGTTTTCATTATGGTTATTGTTGTTGTTCTGATTGATATATTGGACACCTGATCCAATGAATGGAATAAAATCGTTAGTTAGTCTAATTTGTTGATAAAAACAATCAAACACTGACCTTTATTATTATCCACGTTATTTGATGTGGATTGTTCTGATGATATATTTATTTGTTTAAAACCATTTTTTAATCGATCATAAACCCGGGTAATGCGTTCACAGTAAATTTTGGTTTTTTCATTAATCAGAGTCATATTGTTGTTGTTATCGTTATCGTTATCGTTGCTGATTGCGGCTATTTGCGATAATGCCGGTTGTTGTTGTCGATTACCTGTTGCCATTCGAATAATTATTATGATCGGTGTTCTCTATTTGTCTGTCTGTCTGTCTGTTCAATGTGTCAGGTAATTTTTTTTTGTTTTGTTTGCGAATTGATTCACAAACAAAGCTTCACTAAAAATCAAGGTCGATTATTGACAAAATATATTAAAAAAGGCTTTCACCACAATATTGATAATTTTCACTCAATTATCACACCTTCGATTGGATTTACAAATCAGAAAAATAATTGATTCAGAGAATTTGATGTAATAGATATTCTTCTACCCCCACGATGTTCTTTTCCTTTTTTTTCGCTTGTGAATATGAATAAACTCGAATGGCCTTGTTTCTAGAATCTAAATGGCCACACTTGTTGTTGCATGAATAATAACACACGATAATCAAACAAAATTCCATAGATGATGAATTCTATATGTTAAACATGGCCATTTTATTCGAAACCAAACAGCTAACAGCCAACAACGATAATTAATCATGATTGTTTATTCACTTTATTTAATTCTAAACAATTTAGAATTTTTCATCAATTTTTTTCCAGCCCCTAATCAAGCAATGGAGAAATGAAAATAAAAATAAAATCATTGATCAAAGATCTAAGTAGTGTGTTGACAAAATTAAGAAAAAAAATATATATATATTGATCCAATTTCAATCAGTAATCCAATCACATATTTGGCTTCAATCAACAAACAATAAGCTTCGCCCGACAACAACAATGTTTTGATGGAATACCATTTTAGAGGTTGGCAACAATATTTGATGATTGTGTATGTGTGTGTGTGTGTGTTTTTTTTGGAACAAACACAATCAACACATGTCAAATATTCATTGATTACTTCAATGTTCTTGATTCATTCATTTGAGAAGCCATTATAATAATAATAATAATAATGAATAAGTGACGATCAATAAATATCGATAAGGGCCTAGTCGTGCCAAAATTGAAGGAAATTTAGCAAAAACGGACCAAAATATTTGTAAATAACAGTTGTGTAAAAAAAATGAATACCATTTTTTTTCACTTTTTCCCATTGTATCACCGTTACCGTTTTTTTAAAAAATATTTTGGTCATTGTTATTATTGTTGTTGTTGTTGTTGTTATTGGGGCCATTATTTGTTTGGTTTGATATACAACCAAATCATCATAAGATAGAAAGGAGAGAAGAAACACTTTGAAGTTTATATCGATTGCTTTTTGGTTATAGCCAATCATCAGTGTTTTATTTTTTTTTTTTGTTGTCTTGTTTGGTTACATGTTGATTGAATTCGTTTCATTCCTTCATCCGTTATATTCATTTATTCAATCATTCAGAAACCGAAGCAATCACACCAGTTTGGTTATCTTGATTATTCGAAATCATTCGACCATACTACACACAGGACCCCTCTCTCTCTCTCTCTCTCTCACTGTTATCACATACAAGACAAGTTTACCTTGCATATATGATTGAATTGATTGTCGCCAAATGAATAATAAAAAAAAATTTGAAAGACATCGACCATTGTTTGGATGCATTTTCGCTTCATTCGGCTGGAATGGCCGAATTCAATATTAGATTGATTTCTGCTTCAACGAATTTGAATCAAATCAAAAAAAAAAGAAATAGTTTTTTCCTTTAAACCCTATTGGTCTAAAGCTTAATGGACTAAATATGATCAAATGGTGGTGGTGGTGAAGTATGATTTTTAGCCAGATTGTAGCTGACTGAAATCTCTCAAAAAAAATCCGGTGCAATCATGCGGATGCACCTATTTATCCCATCATAAATACTATATAGTATTGATCATTCCATGGAAAAAACATATGCAACCAATTATCATCGACTAGCCTACCAACAAATAACAAATGTTACCATGGTCATGTGTGTGTGTGTGTTAACATTAATCTCGTTTCTCATTGATTAGTCACCAATAGTTGGCCACTGTAAATGGAATTTTGATCATGATAATGATTGACCAGATTATAGCCACCACCATGACCATTATCAATACCATCTGACATTGATCTAAATTGCATTATTATTTGAATTGCAATGAAATATTCTCGCCTCATGATCGTGATGATGGTTTCATTTTTGCAACAACACCTTGTTCATCATCATCATCATCATCATACTATCGACTAATTTACCTTTATATAAATGGAAAGGATTGCCGCTCTTGTTTATTGTTAAACATGTTGTTACAGAAAAAAAAACGTGTCCAACTAAATGGTCAAAATTTTTTCAACACATACACATACACACACACACACACACGATTTGAACACATACATATTTTTTTTCCAACCGGGGACCTATTATTTACAGATGATAATGGTGATGATGATGATGATGATGATGAGGGCTAGTAATAATAATCTAGTATAATGTTTGGCATTCACACAAAAAAAAGTGTGAACCCATTTTTTTGTTTGTTTGTTTGTTTGTGATGGACACCGTATGTTGTATGAATTTGAATGAATGAATGAATGTGAAATGTCTAGAATAGAATCGAAATATTTGAAACACATGTTTATTTGCTTGTTTGTTTGTCAAATGTTGTCGTTGTTGTTGTTGTTGTTGCAGTGTGTTTATGTGTGATTCTTTTGCCAATTATATTTGGCCAGATTTTTTTTCTTTCTCTTCAAGTCTAGCACAAATAACACAAGTTTGATTGTCGAAGTTATTTTCTTTTCAATCATAAATGTTATGATTTATGGCATTCCAAATTGTATTATTGTATATGAATGATCAAATAATATTTGCTGTCATATGGTTGATAAAACATACAGTTGACACTATCGATTGGTCAACTAATAATAATATTAGAAACCTTTAACTTGTCTTGTATAGTCGATTCATATTCATATATATGTAATCTTATTTGGCTGGCCAGTTATTAAAACATATATAATAACTGCAATCACAGACAAATGTGAACAGATTGACTGGAACAAAAAAAGGTAAAAAATTTGTATATGAATTTGTTTTGGGCCATAAATAATAATCACAACACGGATGCCAATAAAAAAAAACGAAACTGGAGCTTTTGGTTTTTGATCGCGTGATCAATGGCCCAATTGCCCAGGGAATAGATGTATGTGTGATTACTGTGTGCATTGAATGCATAACGGGACAGGTGTTGTTGCCATGTCATTCTATATGATGTCAACTCCTCGAATCAATCTATAGCTTTGACCTTTCTTCTCTCTTTCTCACTATGGTTATTTGTATATCGATCGTTCGATGTGCAATAATAAGTATAGTAGTTCACCAAAACCAAAAGATTGTGACCTGGGCCACATATCACCGACAACAACAACAAGTTGTCATTGTCGCCGTTTGACCTATAGATTGTGGTCGAAGTCGTCATCGTCATCAGTTATTACAAGCTGCTGCTTGTCGACTCAATGACCTCTCATAAACTTTCACCTTTGTCCAAAAAAATATATATTGGCAGGCAGAGAGACGACGATAGTTGATCATGATTGGAACGCGATGATTTATTCGCCAATCACGATATATGTAAGAATTGTTGTCCTGACGAAAGATGGAAGGGGCCAAGAATTTTATGTTTACAATGTGATCACTAGATTATCATCATATATTGAATCAAAAAAAAAAAGGATTGCAACAAGTTTTTTTTATTTCATCTTATTTTATTTGTTTGATATAGTAATGGAGCATTGATTTAGTTTCATTGCAAAAGTGATAAAATGGTGTGTGTGTGTGTGTGTGTGTGTGTGTGTATAGTGATTGCACTTGAACAATTTTTTTTTCAATTCCATTTGACTTTGCCATGTGTTTGAATATGTAGGTATGTATTGAACCGTAACGGTGAATACTACACCATTGATGACCCCATCATAGGAAAAAAAAAGTCCAAATGAATGAATATACAGCAGCAACAACAACAACAACAATAGCTAATTGAAACATATGAATGGAATGTATACTATTCAGCATGAACGATGACGACTATGACGACAATTGAATATCAATGAAAATGCATTTTCATCTGCCACAAATGAGTGACTAAAAAGGTCCAAATTGACTGTAAATTTGCTTGTGTATATTTTTTTTTCGTACTAAAGGGTACGATTCATTTCTTTTCATTCCACCATGGTATTTGTCAAATAAACAATCAATTCAAATTGAAATTCATTTCATTCATTCATTCTATTTTTTCGCAATAACATTTGGTCAACTCATTTTACACTTTATATATGTGTGTGTGTATGGCTTTGGCCACCAACTATGTCTCATAAAATATAAACACATTGATGACAATATCGAATGACCAAATTAAAGATGCACGACACATGATGTCTGATTATTGTGAGAATGTATCGTTTGTGCTGACAACTGATCCGTTAGTCAATGTTAAAGTGGCACTCAATCAATGTCAAGTCGACGACATGAGTAAATACACAGACAATATAATCACAGGCTTGATAGCTTAGAAATGAAGTTATTTTAGATACTGTGACCCACCCTTGTCACCTCGATTCAATTAAGCCACAATAAGTAGGCACAACTTTTTTATCGATCAATTTGGATCAATCAAGCAATCAATGAATTGTGATTGAAATGACTGGAATAAAAAAATAATTCAAATCATCAAACAAGTATGAATAAAAACAGAGGCTACAAAATGTCAACCAGTATTTTCGTTTTTGTCTCTCTCCACCTGGGCAACAAGAGAACATTGGTCATCAATATTCGACCTGTATCGACGGTGACCATGTGTCGAGTTGTAAAATGTTATCGACAATTCGGTCATAACTCTTGTTGATCTTGGATCCGGGATCTTGATTGTCGTCATAATGGCCAAATATACATATAATACACACTACGCCATTATATTTTTGGTGATCTTCATGGTAAATTGTGGATTGGCCAATTTGTGGCTAATTTTCGACTATTCGATCGATGCCACACACATCGCGTCGCATAGTCGATAGTCGAGTTGGCCATAAGATTGTGATTGAAATGGCTGATATGAATTATATGGCAGCTAGTACTGGTTGATCATTCATCGGTTAGGCTAATTACTGGCTGATTGATTCATTAATTATTCCTACTATCATTGAGAATAGTTGACTGTCTGACTGGTTAGCTAGCTAGCTCGCTTGCTTGCCTGCTAAAATTGGTCCAATGAACTTAGTTAGTTAAATTAATAATGAAAAGATTTATTAGTAGACTTATCATAAGTTTTGACATAATCGACCTGTCCGACTAGTTGTGTGTGTGTGTGTGTGTATGTTTGTGTATTTGACAGTAAGAATTGATTGATTCTATAATCGATGATTTTGTTTGTCTTGTAGTCACATTGGAAAAACAATCAACAGGTGGCCATCGATCAGCAGCAACAACAACAAAAAATCTTGAACCGTTTCCAATGAATCTGGTCAAACATCATCAAACAGCTTCATAAAGTTTCCATACACGATTTCTTAGCTCTTTTGATGCATAATGATCGGGATATAGATTCAATGATTTCTGCACGTATTCATAGCTAAGATCAAAATGGCCAGAATTTTCTGCTAATAATGCTAGATTATAATGTGGTTCATATCTATGGTGTGTTTAAAAGAAAAGAACAAACAAATTTTGCTTACAGAATTGCTCAAGTTTAGACACAAACTACGTACAGATAAGATCCAACATTAGCTGATGATTGAAAATAAGATTTAGCCTGTTGAACATTGGCTGTCGTTGTTGTTGTTGTTGTCGTGTTTGACCGTTGATATTGACCACCAGTTGTTCCAATGCCTTTAGTTATCTCTAAAACGCCGAGATTATTGTACGCTTCAGCATGATCATTGTTAGAGGATGAAGCTAACCGGAAACAGTACAATGCTAATTGTCGATCACCAGAACCAAGAGCCACATGGCCAATGTTATACCATATATCAGCTATCATTTCATCAGTCTCGGCAAACATGAGAGCTCGTTCAAAACAAGTGACCACCATATCGTACTGTTGTGAATAGAAACAGCAAAGGGCTATATTATTGTAGATTTCCGATTTGAATATTCCCATCTGCAGTAATCGCCGATAATAGCGAAGTGCAATCTCTGGTTGATCACTATAGAATTCATTCATAGCGATCGAAGCGATAGCTTCAATATCGATTGCATCATAAGTCAATATTGATCGATATAATCCGATCGATTCATCCATTTCGTTCATCGATTCATGAATACGGGCAGCATATCGTAATAAAAGTGTTTCATTTGGATGTTTTTCCAGTCCTTGTCGATATAGATCCAATGCTTTCAATGGCTGATCCATTCGAATGTACACTTTGCCTAACCATATATAAACGTCGACAGCCACTTCATAATGCTGTAATGCATCGCGAAAATATTCCTCTGAATCACGAAGTAATGCCAATTTGTAATAACATTTACCGATCTGAGCCTGTTTATTTATTAATGATCAAACAAATTAAACATTAGATTATAATAATGAGATATATAAAGATGAATCAACTTCTATTACTTTCCACCACCAATCCATTTTGGCCATCTCTACGTTAGTCTTTATGGCTAGCTGTAAAGCTATTCGAAAATTACATTGATTATGGAAAATATATTCAAAAAGAGCACGAGCCATTGGTGGCATTTTAGAGTATTTGTCCACATTCAAACGTTCTACGTTGAGAAATTCGCCACCACTTTCCTTCAAAGCTAACATCGAAGCTGTACCAAGACGAGCATGACGTCCAGAAGCAGTGGTCATAGGTCTAGCAGAATATCCAGTACGTGGTGCCGATAATGCAGATTCTAAAGATTGATTAGCACCAACACTGTTTGTACCAGGTCTAATCATTCCACTTAACGGTCGACCAGATTGAGTAACCGGTCGAATCGCTTGTGATGTTGATTGTCGTGCTAATGATGTTGCTGTAGCTGTTCGAAGCGATGTTCCAGGACGAGCTGTTTCTGCTATTCGTGTTTCATCCATCAACGTTTCGGCTATACCATCTTCGTCGGCTTCCAGATCATCAACATAAGTTTGTTCGGTCAAACATCGAAGTTTCAAACACCAGAAAATCTATCAATTACAATTATCAGTAAATGCTGAATGATGGATAAAAATTGGATTGAACAAACCTGATTTTTTGGATTCTGTTCGATTTGTTCATTGCAAATTTCCATACATCGATCATGGTAACGGCGCCGATACAATGACATTGCATAACATAATGGATCCATGTTGAACAATTAAATGAACATTCAATAATCACAATACCAACTAAACATAGACAAATACACAGAATGTGATCACCATGGCAACAAACCTAATGGCTCGTCAAAACTTTATTTTTTCGCACTCACTTCATTAGCAAATTCTGTGCTAGACATGTTCACATTCAATTACAATGATCTTAAATCCTCGTTATTATTTGAAATGATGATTTAGACATATTTACAAAAAGATAATTTCTAATCGAATATATGCACAGATGAGAAAATGAGGCAAATATCATGTAGTGACCATTAAAGACAACTTTCGGTTGATTATAATCGATTCATGTGTGTGGTCTAGTAGGGCTGGATGTAAATGAGTTGATCTGGTAGTTTTATTTACAAGTTGATGTGTACAGTAAGTTGATCAATCGCTGTCAAATCCAGCCGGTAGTCTACGTTTTTTATTCCGTAGATTCGATTTTGATATGGTCCGTTGTGGTACATCCTCCTAGAATCCAATATTCAGTCAGTGAATCATTTAGCCTAACCACATAACAACTTACTTCTGAAGAATCGGATTCTGTATCCGAATTATTGGCAGTCGTATTTTGATTTGATGATTTCTTACTAGAAGTCTTTTTAGCTCCAGTTGTAGATGAATTTGAAGAGCTCGTTTTTCTTTGTGACCCAGATTGTGATGCCGTAGACGAGGAATTATTGGTTGAGCTGGCATTCTTACCATTACTACTGCTGCCATTATCGTTATCATCACAAGGCACATCGGTGAATAGATCGGCATATCTAATGAGAAATTATTTTAATCTGGTATTATGTTTACAAATGATAAAGTTACTTTGTTTTTTGTTGGTTTGTACAGATCTGCTTTAATTGAACCAACATGGCTATCAATGCATCCTGGTTGAAAACTATAAGAAAAAACAAAGACCAAATAATAAGCCAAATTAATTGATATGTATTAAAATCTTACAATTGACATCTTTATTGCTGGCGAATGTTCGTCTCATTTCGTCCAAATAGAAAAGCAACTGTTCAATGTTGGCTGTATTGTTCATCTTGTTCTTTGAGACATTGTTCAACACCCTAAACAAAACAAAAATCAATTAGAATGAGCAGGATCTATTAGGCAATCATCACCTTTTGTGTCGTTTAGTTGGAGAACTGATGATTGAAGAGACATAGGTGCCAATCACTTCACTAAGTTTGTCTTTCCAGCGTTTCGCCCAGTACAACAGTACGCTAAGCACAAGACAGGCATCGTTCAATTTGTGATGATCACGAGCCATAAATTGTTTCAGGTATTGATTGGTGGGCATTTCACGTTTGAACATCTGAACCAGATGACTATTCAATCCTCCTAAAATGTCTACACGCAAACAAGGACATAGAGATAGAAATAAATGAGCACAATGAGTATTAAGAATCAATCAACAAAAAAATACCATTGTTTGAATCCAATTTGGACAAGGCATTTAGATAAGAATCAGGAGTAAAGTCATGAGCATCCAACAGATCCCATAGTAGATGTTGCTGGATATGATCGAATTGGTTGGCCAACGCTAACAAAGACAAATAATAGAAAAAAAATTAATCTTAGTGAATGAATATAACTTAATGATAACTTACAGATGATGACCGAGAGAGAATCTTTTTTGCACAATCGCAATTGATCACGTTGTATGAGAATGACCAGGTATTGAACGGAATTGTAATCACCGAATTCGAGTATCATTCGGATTAGATCGAGATTGCCCACCATAATAGTAGGAAATGCTTTCATCACAGCAGGTATCAGGTAGAAGAATATATACAGATCATGCCAGGTAGCCGTTTCCAGATCAGCGATTAATGCCGTCGATAAATCTTTGGACATGCAACGAACCAGATCCCGGTAGACAGCCATTCGATCGAATGTATTGCCCGTAACGACCAGATAATGCAAAAATAGGAAACCGATTCTTACATTGTTCGTAGCCATTTCGGCCACTAGCTGCTTAAGATGAATGGCATTGTGACCACCGCTATTAGTTTCATCATCATCATTATCATCTTCATCATCATCGTCACTAAAATTGCTCTTAGGTTTTTCTATTTCACGATGACATTTGACCAAAGCGGCAAACATTGTGAACAGGGGTCCATCAATCGATGCTTTCAATGCTCGTTGATCTGGTTGATACCAACTCGTGTACGAATGCAGATAATAATCGGGAAAACGTTTCTGGCTCATATCCTCGTCTAGTATGGCCGACAAGATGATTGTCAGATTAGGTAAAATATCGGCAATTGGCGATTCTTCATCTTCTTCATCATTGGACTGAATCAATTTTTTGACAAGTTCTTCCATTTGAGCACACTGGTCAGCACGGTTTCTGACAGTCAAAGAATTTATTATTTCAGAGTTATTTGTGATTGTCAAAACTACTTACCTGGCATCATATAAGCGCTGAATAATGGATTTGATAGGTTCCAAATTTATTTGGTTGATCTGTTCTTGCATTTCTTGTGGTGATAGACTGTAAGGCGACTTTTCCTCTACTGTTGTCGATGAGTCGTGATAATTATAATCTAATTGATGTTCAATGTAAGGGCTTTGGTGATGACTGATGGTCGAGGAATAACTAGAAGAATCAATAAGAGTGACATCATCACTGTTGTTCGATTCATCGATTATGGTTACTACTTCAGGCTTGATCTGAATGTTTAAATCATTGCCATTGGGACTATTAGGATTAGAAAACATCGGGACTTCAGCTACCGATGGCGAAGCTATCTTGGCGTTTGGGAGATGATGTCCCATCATCAATGTGGGATTCATCGACGATGTAGAAGGCGACATGATTACCGATACCGGATTTCCTAGTGGTTGTTGTCCTATGTGTAATTGTTGTTGACCATTGTGGCTCATTTGATTAGGCCCAACAATGGCCGAACCTGATGATGATGAGACTGACGATGGGGATGAAGTGGTGGATGATGACATCACAGTCGAATTCAATATGTTGGCTATATATTCGGTCGAATTATTCATCGATATGATGGTAGATGTGGGAGTAGATGATGGTGAGGATGAGGAAGAAGAAGAAGGTGGAGGAATAGATTGACCAATCGAATTTATAGAACCATTGTTTTTGTTTAATGCCATGGTGCCAGATGAAACTTTTTTAGCTGTTGCGATCATTGGCTTCGAAACAATACCACTAGTTCCCGAGAAGCTGTTTGTTTTTTTCATCTTTTTGGCGGCTGGTTGTTTAGAACCAACAACTGAACTATTGGAGGCAAGTCTTGGATTTGTATCACTGGAATCGTTAATCAATTCATCCTCATCATCACTGAATTTGGAAGTAGGTGCTTGTCCCATGACCATCGGAATTTGCGATTGTTGTTGCTGTGAATACATTATTGTTGGCATCTGTTGTTGGAGTGTTGTTTGCGGCGGCAAGTGGTCGATAGGTCCTTGTGTAGATATCTGTTTGGTGATAACATTGATCGGTTTAATATTAGTGAGTATAGGATTAATTGAAGTCGTGGTTATTAGAGAATGGGTTAGCGGATCGATCATCGGATGTGAACCAGCTGTGACCACAGTGACTACCGATGAATTCGAGCAGGTCGATAGTAAGCGAACTGGACCGGAAGATATGGCCATCATCATCGACGGATCAAACTGACTAGTACCGGTTGCCGTAGCTTTAGTAGCAGTAGTGAGGGTAGTCGATTGGCAACAAGCAGTAGAATAAGTGGAAATATAAGAAGATAAAATGGTAGAAGCGGAAAAAGAACAAGTAACAGCAGCAGCAGTAGTAGTGAAGATTGTGCAGGAAGAAGGCGTAATGAATGTGGAAATTGTACTAGTAGTAATTGGCCAATTGCTATTAGTGACATTAAGTGTATGAGGTGATGTGGATGCCGAAGCCGAGACAATCTAAGGCAAGATCATATATCATGACAATAGCAACAGCATAAGAGGATCATATTGTCATCAATGGCAAATCAACTATATACTACTAACACTAAAACTACTCTCTAATCGATCCCACTGCACCCGAACACAACATCCGAATATTTCGCATTGTAACCATTTACTAACCTGATTGCTTCCGGCCAAGTAGTGATGACCATTGATTCCGGCCGATCCAGAACCTTGTAACGATGGCGGTTGAGGCTGTGAGAGCACTGGTTGAAACATTAATTGCTGTTGCTGTAGATCAGCAATATTTTGGATATCAGGAAATGTTTTCGTAATTAGTTGTCGTAAATGCTGCTCAATCTTGGTCGGATCAAACATGAAAGCCAATGAAGGGGTGACACGTTTGTCTACAAGATGAAATAAAGAATTTCGAATTCCCATTTTGATCTGTTGGGGCCATTGGAGGACAATATTCCACGGATATCTATAACATACAATATCGATAAACAATGCCTTTAATTGGATTATAATCAATAATGCCTACCCGACATAGAAAATCTAACAATGCAGCTGTGATACCCGGATGGTTTTTAAGTGAAAAGTACATGACCAACATGCCTGGTTCAAGATCCATGATCATGTTGTTGTTAGAATCTTGAATGTCAAACATAAGCCAATCGTAGAATAAGGCCATTCGTGACCAGGGTAATGACACATTTTGTGGACAAGAGTTGAGAATCCAACCAATGATAGCCCATCGTGGAACCATTCCCATAGCCATCTCTTCATTACTCGGATGTATCGAATTGCAAATAAATCGAATCAGATCGGTACGTATCAATTGATTATCTTGCGAATTTAGGTATTGTCGTTGAAACCAATCCTGATAGCGACGTTGTGATCCAAAACGAACTTGCGAGATAAGAAAGTTTAATTTTTTCTCAATGTCAAACGTAACGAGGAGTCGTATGAAGCGACGATGAGTTCTCGTGTGCATTACTTGTATCAGGTTAAACTTGGGAGATAGACTTGATGGATTGTTAAGCATCGTTTTCCATAGCTGTTCGAATTCAGTTATCCTACACACTTGCTGCAATAAACGGATCAAATCTCGTCCAATGCCAAGAAAATCACCAAAACGTTCGGTGAGTAGACAGTGGCAATATTTCACAGCTTTCATCATCAGCCTTGAAGGAGGCATGAGGTCGGCAATTAGTCGAAGATATTTGACCAATGCATATTGCAAAAGAGGTACATTGCTATCATAGCAGAGTCGATATTCGATTAGAATGTTCAAAATGTTTTCGGCTAAAGTTTGATTCCGTTGACTCATATCACTTGGCACGATATTTCGCATCAGATTATAGAATATAGTCTCAATATTCTGTATGGAACTTTTGAGCAATTCTTTGCACAACAATAGTAAACGATTTCGAGCATGTTCGTGAAGACGTAAAAATTTTTCTGTAGTGATTTGATTGATGTAACTACAAAGTAAAGTTCCGCCATCGCGATTCGACAATATGATGGTTATGAAAAGCTGTATTTAAAGACGACATGTTAATCATTAAATCATGTTAGACAATTATCATACATACACGATGTGAATTATCACTTCCATTGTCGAGCAACATCGACACGATCAAACCAAGAGTAATCTCCTCAGAATATGTGACACTTTCACGACACATTCGTGTTAGCTCTTCGTGTATCTGATGTTCCGATTTGCCTTGTATCTGGTCCTGTACGAACTTATAATTGCGGCACATTTTCTACAAAAATGATTATAAAATGATAATACAAAAAAAAACACAAACAGAATGGACTTACCTCTTCATAGTCGTCTTTGGTTTCTACTGGACTCAAAGCGAATAACCGTTCGAGATTCTGTTCCAACGTTGCCGGTTGTTGTTGTTGTGAAGAAATTAGATTAGAAGAAACAATATCCGTTTGTTGTTGTTGCTGTGATTGTAATGGTGGCATCGGTGGTCCTCCACCAATGTAATTCGATGTCGACATGAATGACGTTTTGACGATTTGTTTCTGATGTTGGCGTTTAAAATTACTTGATTGATATCATTCAATTTGGCATTCGTTTGTCGTTATTGTTGTTTGTCGTCGTTGTAATTGAACGATGGATGATTAGCGAGAGCCAGCCGAATTCATGATCCGATTATCAATAAATCATATGATGATTTTGCATCATATACTTTCATCTGTAATATTTAATTGTTTTCTTTTCAATCGAAACCGTCTCAGTTGGTAATATATAAATTTCTATTTCGACTATTCTAGATCAATTCACAATTACGATCAGGCCAAAATCAGATGAATCGATGACATAAGTCAAAAACCAAAATAGATCGACAAATATGAGAAAATGTAGTACATACACAAGCTAGACAATAAATGCCCGACAAATCGCCAGCCACTCACCAAAAAAAAAAAAAAAAAGCAAAACTCATCCACACACACACAGAGGCACAGTGAAAAGCAAAAGAACAAACACGCCGTTCATACCTGTTCATAAATATCGTATATCAATTAATTAAGATCCAAGGTCCTAGCCATCGTTAATACGATAGTAGTCATTGTAACAAAACAATTCAGCTAACAATCAATTCAAATTGGATTTAATTTGACCAGAAATTAGATTAACTATCAAGTCAAGGATATATTGGATTATAATTGATGTCCAATTATACCGATAGATGGCAATCAATGTCATTCAGTTAGTTTTTTTTTCTATTTAGAATTTCAATGGATTGATGATGATGATGGATCCCGCCAAATTATTATTTGTTGATCTGATGAAATTTAATGATTATGGTTCGATCTGTCAACAGTACTACTATAGTAAGTTTGCGTGTGTGTGTGTGTGTGTCTATTTTGGATTTAAAATAAAATTTATCATATTTTATTTCACAACCAATTTGAACAATATTGAAACGGATAATTGATTCGATATACATCTTGTCCAAAAGAAAATTGGCCGAATTTGATATAACTAGAATCGATTCATAAGTAGAAAAAGGCAATAATGAATGCCCATCATTTTATATCCGGATATTCAGTATGATGGAATTTAGGCCACATTGTCCACAAATAACGATGAGATATGGTGACAAAAATATGGCCAGAAAAAAAGCCATGCCGTTCATGTTGGCAACAATTGTATGTTTGTCGATTACTTGATGACATGATGATGATGATGATGATGATGATGGCTTTCCATCCGTCATGTCATTATCATCATCATATAATCATAAAATCAAAAAATTGCTGACAGGATTATCCATATACAAACCAATCGACAATATTCATCAACCAACGTACATCAAAGCTTCAGGTAAGATTTGATTCAATTATCTGGATTTGTGCATGCATACTAATAATCCATTGGTCGATCAAATTGATGATCAATAGATTTTCAAAATTATATTCACTTGATGGATAATTAGTAATTAGTAATGATGATGATGGTAAATCAATTTGTTTGCTTATATCATCCATACTGGATTATCAAGACGGTCATTGGAGATAATAACATGGTCAATTGGCCAGATTGCAATGATGATAATAAATAGTGGTGAGAATTAATCTGGACACAATGGACCATCATTTCTTCCTGTGAAACATATGATGAAGGTTATCAACGTGGATTAATGCTGCCATAAAGTTGGTGTCATTCGTGTGATTATTATGTCGTGGAAAATATAATTAAAAAAACGTGCAATCATACATTGCCACAATCAGCTGGTTGACAATTGTCGACAACGACTGGTGACGATCATTTCATAATGGGGAACAAACAAGTGTTAAAACAATTACCATAATTAGGACACCAACTGCCTTCAAATTATCATTTATTCATAACACAATTGTGGACACTATTTGGATTACGTGGACTATTAACACGCGAATAACATCAAAAAAAAGCCAAACGATTATTGAACTTTCGTTACGTTGGGTTCTCCATGCTTTTTGACGTGGTCCTTCATAGACATTTGATTTTTCTGTATTCATCACTCTTTGTGGTCAAATTCGTGATGACCCCGACTTGCTACACATGCTTTATTGTGATATTAATTCATGGAGACATCTCCATTTTTCTAGAATGATCATCTTGGATTGATGGTTTGAACGACACATTGAACTCTCATTAACACAACTCTGGCTCAATCACGATGATGAGCATATATAATAATGATGATGATAATCAAAATTAATGCCATGATCATGATGATGACCACAATCACATACCAACACTATTGATGATGATTATCATTGGCGACAACAACAAGTAAACAATCAGCTATATTGATAACCTCATTAAATTGAAACTTAAATGACGGAACTACTGAAATCAAAACCAAAAGGTGTAACACCAAAATAATAAATCTTACAACGCCCAAATTTAGAAAGTAATTTGACTGAATTGCCAATTGTTTGATGATGATACAACGATCAAACAATCAAGTAAAAAAAAAAGCTGACAACAACAACTGGTATTCTATGGTAGCAAGATGATGATGATGATGATGTCCAAAAATAATAATGATCTTAAACCGTATTGGCTATAGAATAAGATCATTATAAACAGTCATCATGTTGTTTGAATTTTGGATCAAATTGGTTTGCCACAACCATTATCAAGCATCATCACCAGACTATCATAGTATAATCATCATCATCATCATCATCCAAAATGATGATCATCGCCACCTAAATGACAAATGGATTTGTGTGTGTGTAAGTGTGTGGGACACCTTTGTTATCATTAGAAATTGGTTTGATCCAAAATGGGCAACAGACAGAAAAAAAATTGAAACGAATGGAATTTAAATGACAGTTGATATATATGTTTAAAAAACCAACTACGACTACGACGACGATGTGTTTTATTTGTCAAAATGACTTGGATTCATTCTGGTTTTCCCCCAATTGGTTGAAGACCATTATTTTTTTTTTATTTTTGGTGAGAGAGAGAGAGAGATTGAAAGTGAAAGTTGAAGTGAGAAAAAGAGTGAATTATAAAACTTTTTTTTTGTTTCGTTTTGTTTTGTTACATCGAATCAGGCTTGTTGAGAACAACAACAGTTGTTCTCTATCCACACACAACATCAAAAAAACAACAACACAGATGTGTGCACATCCTTACAATATTGGTTTTCTCTTCATTTAATACATAGGAAACGATTCGTTTTCGATGTCTTGAACATTGATGTTCAATTTTTTTTTAAATTTATTCAACATTCATTCATTCATTCATTCACAGATGATTACTATACATCATACATTGAGGAAAAAAATTATTGACACTTTTTTGTGTGTGTGTGTGTTTATGAATGTTTCATTTTTTTCAAAAAAAAAATATCGATTTAACGAATAAACGATTGGTCAAAGAAATTGTGATTTATTTTTAAAATAAAAACCAATCAAACAAACCACTGGTCAACACAAATCACATTGTCATCGTATCCGTGGTCTTACCATTAAATCATTCAACTTGTTGTGTCACACATAATTGTCATTTTGTGTTTGTCTGTGTGTGGGTGGGTGTGTGTATGATTGTGTCTTTGTTTTCTGGTTTTTTGTTTCGACAAATATACCTAATCATAATTAAAGAGTTTGATATTGAGAGAAAAAAAAAGAGAAAAAAAGATTTTGATATCAATATATTTATCGGATATAAAAAAAACCGATTTATTGGATGAAACCAGTGAAACTAAAAATCTTAATAAGTGGATGTGTCATAAGCATTTTGGCCATATAATTACAACAATATATACACGATAATCATACGTTTGTCATCATCAATCAATACAATCATTATTTGATTATGGATCGGGTAAGTCTTATTCGATATATAATAATAATTCATTTTATTATCATTATTATTAAACTCTGGTTCTTTTTTTTTGCTTATTTGTTCACCTTAATCTTATCTGTACTAGTTACTATCGATCATAGTGATTGCCATATTATTACCTGCTACAATTTCGTTTGCATATTCAGTTCCACCACCATTAACCGATGGTAATGATGTTGAAACGAATCGAGTTCTGGAACAATTCATATGGAAAAAAATAATTAGTGCACCAACAGATCCAAAAAAAGCGTATCAAGAATTACGATCATCATTGGATGCGATCTCTCAACGTAATGACGATCACATTCAATTACCTGAATCGTTGTACATGTTAAGAAAATCAGTTATGCAACCTCGATCATTGAGACGTCGATCATCGTATCCATCGCCTGCATCGAATGAATCGGCCATTCCATCCACATCGGAAACTAGCCCTGGACAACAAAAAATTTTCAATCATTACACCAATCTTGCTACGACCAACAAATATATTCCCGAATTTGGAGCTAAAGAGCTGTATCAACTAGTTGCTCCTATGGCCGGAAATCCTGATAAAGAACAGCCACCTCTACCACAGCCGCCTTCACCAACACAGGATAACAATAACAACAATCACAAACAAACCGATATATCTATTGCTGGTCAATCGCAACCATCGTTGAACAATCGTCGTGTGATCGATTATATACAGGAACAATTATCCGAATATCAGGAAATACTACGTAAACATCCGTCTAAAAAAAGAGCCTACAAAGCAATACAACAACAAGATGCTAACGACATTTTGTCAATACACAAATATAACCGTAAATCACTGAATAAACAACGGCCAGCTACTTCTAATCGATTGGAAGAGGAAATCAAACCTGAACAAGAAACCCAACAACAGGTTACCCATTCACCGCCGGTCAAAAGTAAAAATCGTGGCCATCAACAGGCACAATCACAATCTATTTACGATATTCTGCCGATGCCATCATATGGACAGCTTAAGAATACAATCCGACCATATGGAGGATTCGGAAGCGATAATTATGGCAACAATATGATGGGATCAACTGGTAACATACCACCATCGCCAGCCACTCAATTATCATCTCCATTCGAAGCAAAACGGACATTTCAAATGGCACCATTGATGGAATATAAAGGATCAGAAATGGAACAATATCCTGAACAGCAACAATATGAACCGACATCTCAAACATTGGAACCACAGATTATCGATGTTGTACCGGATGAGCAGCCAATTCAAATCGTATTCCGTTCATCATCGGCCAAAGTACAAGTAAAACAAGTGCATACACCCATACCTTATAATGACGTAGAAACTACAAGAACGGAAGAAAAACCACAACTAGTATTACATAAACTGGTCAGGCCCATTGTACAGGTAAAATAAATTAAGAATCATTAATTATAAGAATAAGAATTTTAAATTGAAAAATCGTATAGCATCTGTTGCATTTGCGTCCAACAAATGACACTGTTTTCTAAAATATGTTTTTATTCCATTTTTAATTTAATTTAATATATTCATTACAACAACAGGAAGTGATTGAAATTATACAACCGTATCGGCGAGTTACCCAAGAGATTAGGCCTGTTCTGGAAGAAATCCGTACTGTCGTTGCAAAACAGGCTGATACCCAACGTATACAGAAAGATCGATTGGGAAAAGGATCAAAAAAATGGTAAACAACAACAACAACAACGATGGCAGGCAGGAACCTTATGAAAAAAAACACACACACACACATACAACTATTGTCTACATAAATAAGAAAAATACACACAAATCATATCCGGATAATCACTGAAAAAGCAACATAAATATAGTATCATTTGTTGTTTTTTGTCTACTTTTTTCTCATCGATTTGTCATCAATCTAAACCAAACAAACAAAGTTCCTATCCATATTATACAAAATGACAAACAAACAAACAAACAAAAAAAGATGACCATTAACCAAACAAATTATAAAAACTATGCATACAAAAACACTGACCATTATATCTATATCTATCCGGTATCGAAATCGATATTTACACTTTGTTTTTTATTCTTTTTTTAAAAATAACCGTTTTTAATCAAAAATGTACGGTCCCGATTATTAGTATTGTTCTCATAGCGAATCATCACCATTCATTCATTCATTCATTTATTCATCTCATAATTTGCATAAATCATATAATTAATTTAAAAAAATAATTGATTAATAAAGTTTATAATACACAAAAAATTCTTATAAATTGAAATTGGTTCAAATATTGATGACGTACGTATCCTATGGACAACCCCAACAAAACAAACAACGTGATAATAGTGCAAAAGTAACGGAGCAAAACGTGTGCACTAGCGATGAAATAGGTGATTACGAACGACATTCTATAGAATTTAGATAGTCATTTTCGATTTCACCGTGATCAAATTAAACCAACGGATGTCGAGATCGAATCATCACTGAAAATTCGAAAACGTTGCTCATTATCTGGGTGATAAAATTCAAAATGAAATCATCCAATTAATATGGAATGCCATCAGAAAAGAAATCTTGTGAATGGCTAAAGAAGTCAAATATTATTTCTCTATAATTCTGTATACCACTACAGATATTAGCCATAAAGAGCAATTATCAGTAGTAAGTGCGATTCATTTGCCTTGATAAAAGTATTATAACCAATGGCGAATTCACGAACGTTTTCTGGGTTTCATACCTCTTAATGATACAACAGGATAACAAGGTTTGTTTGATTCTATCACAAATTTTTTTACAAATTTTGAATCTTAACATTAATGATGATGATTTACCAGGTCAATCCTACGATAATGGTGCAAATATGCGAGGTAAAAATAATGGATTGCGACAAAAAATTCTTGAAATTAATTCAAGAGCTTTTTTTTATTCCGTGTGCTGCTCATTCATTGAACTTGGTGGCTAATGATGCAGCTAAATTAACTTATGAAACAATCAATTTTTTTACGTTAATACAAGAATTGTAAAAGTATTTTTCATCATCTACAAAAACGTTGGGCAACATTCAAAAAACATATGCCTAATCTCAATTTGTAAACGATTTCTACCACTCGATGGAAAAGCAGAATCGAAGCTATAAAGCAACTTAAATCAAATATTTAAAAATAAGTATTTCTCTCCATCAATTTGCAGATGATTTAACAAAAAATATGAAGTCTGAAGTTCAAGCTGTCAATTTGATTGAAAAAATTGAATCTTTTCATTTCTTATGTTCAATACATGTATGGCATGATATTCTAGTAAATCTTGCAAGTAAGATGATGCAAAACCCTACTTCTAATGTAGGTAAAATCATTGAAAATCTAAACAACATCATATTACGATTGAAAGAATTTAGATCCGATGAATATTTTGAGAAAAATATAATAAGAATTTGGCAACTGAAATGGCAAATAGTCTTGATAATCAATTAAGCAGTTATTCACCGATGAAAGAAGAAAAACCAAAAAAAAAAAATTTTAATTATAAATCACTGTTTTCCTCATTTTCTAAATATTCAATTATCAACTTAATCTCAATAATGATCTTTTTTTTTAATTAAATGAATCAACTTGAAAGGATTATTACCTTATATATGAATGAATGGTAAATTCCGTTATGAAAAAAAAAAAATCAATAAATATGAAACTTCGTGTTTAGTAGATTATTTTGTTCATTTCATTTTTTTTTGTCAAAACAAACAAAAAAAAATCAATCAATATTTTGGCGATGAATTTTCCTAGTATATGAACTAACTAACTCATCATCATCATCATAATCAACAAGTAATGGTGTGTGAGTGCGAATGAATGAATGAATGAAAAAAAAATGTTTTGCGTTCTGGTTATTGAAAATGGCTCGTGAAATTCAACTAAAGTGGCGATATGCGGAAGCTATTTCACGCTGCAATTTTTTTCCTTCTTCTTCTTTGTTATCCAATTGAAATTTAATCGACCGATGATGCATCGCGGACATTCTATGAATGTAACAAACAAATAAACAGCAACAACAACAACAACAACAACAAAAGTAGAAGAGAGATAAATGAGAAAGAAAAACATTTTGATCAAAAAAAAAAAAAAAAAAAAAAAAAAAAATAGTTGGTCATCGAATTTCAGGTAAACGAAAATCGCTAATTCCAAATGGACCAATTATCTTTGTAGATGGCCACACACACACACTTAAAAGGTTTTATTTATGCACGTGATACCATCACGAGTGATTGTTTGTCCATATTTCGATATGATTTCATAACAATTGAAATTGACCAATCAATTCGATCAATTGATCGATACCATTGATTGTATATGTCAAACACATAATCAATCAATAATGTTGATGTGACCAAATAACCAACCAACCAACCACCATCATCATCATCATTATTATGATTATGATTACCTACTCTAAATATCTTTGCAATCATTTTAAGTTGACGACGATATTTTAGTCATCATCATCATCATCATTATTATAATCGATAACATACAATTTATGTTCATCACATTTTTTTTTGCTGATACAAATTGATGCTCATTCTCTTTCATTCTATTCTTCCGCCCCCCATGATAATATAACAACCATTTTTATACACAGGATGATGAGATAATTCCAGGTCATTTATATGTGTGTGTGTGTGTGTGTCTATGAATTTTATTTGGATCTAACATTGGCCATCTAACATTCGATTCTGACCACATATGACAGGTCATCATCAAAGCAAAATCGTTTGAACCGGACATTTTTGTGTTTGTAAATTTTTTTTTGTTTTGTTTCATTTCATTGTTTTGTTCCTGGATTAAATAATCGCCTTATGATGATGATGACAATAGACATAATCCAGTTTGATGACACACATGATGATGATGATGATGATGATGTGAACGACCGAAATCCATATTGTCTATTCGATTAATAAAATTATTTAATTTTCTTTTTTTTTCAATAATCCATTCGCATGGTGAGCATTTCTTTCTTTCTCTCTCTCACACACACACACACACACTCTCATTCTCTAGTTTGGCCTATTGTATTCATTCCAACAGCATCCAATCATGATTGTTAAGCATATATAAATTGATTCAATTTGATCTGCCAAACGCCAATGTATAATTTAGATTTTGTTGTTTGTTGTTGTTGTTGTTGTTGCCATCTTCACACGCGAACATTGATTGTGTAACAGTGTCGAGATTTTTATCTGTACTTGTATTTCGTATTATAAATGATCAATAAATCTAAATCGTACAAAATGATGATTCGTTATGCATTACCATCAATCATTTGGTCTATTATTTTATCCATTCTGGTTAATATGGATTTATCTGTGGCCACCGTACAAATACAATTAGAATCTTTACGACCAACTTCATCATCATCATCATCATCTAGTTCGTCATTACAATCATCAAGCGCTTCATCATCTACATCGAATGCTTTGGCTACGGCCACCACCACCAATACAATAGTTGATCATTCTTCCGATTTATTTGATCCGTCAATCCTTTATGGAGGTGTGTTTAAATCATCACCCACATCTAATTCGATTCTTCAAGCAGCTTTACCTGCTTCAACAAGTAGTAGTAGTAGTAGTAGCTCGAATTTAGGGACAATCTATTCTTCGTCAACATCATCATACTCAAACACCAACCACTGTACCCGGTAGTTCACCATCAACATCCGATTTTGTGTTCCAATTGTTACCACAAACAGAAAATGATGTTTCACATAGCTATCCTAGATCAACAGGCGTACATCAAGAAGAGCTATATGAAGAGAATAGTATTATGCCACATCGTGCTCCGCTCTATCCAACGGCTGTATCAGCGAAACGATCTTATGAAGTAAAACCGATGATAGTCGAGAATCATCCAGTTGAACCATCTGTCGTAAATGTTGATGGTAGCGAACAGCCAGTCAAGGTGATTTTTCATACTCAATCAAGTCCAATGATGGTTCGTCAAATACATACACCACGTAAACCGTTAGAAGTTGAACGAAAAAATACAATAGACGAACCACATCGCGTCATACATGCCGTGATGCGACCAGTAATTCAGGTAAACAATAAATGACGCTGTTTTTCCGAAAAATGTTTTTAATTTAACATTTTTATTCCTTTCTTATTAATTCATTACAATAGGAAGTGCGAGAAATTATTCAACCATATCGTCGCCTTACACAGGAAATTCGTCCAGTGTTAGAGGAAGTACATACCATCGTTTCCAAAGATGACGTCGAGACGAACAATCGGGAACTATGACAATGCAACCTGGAATGAATGGACCTCCAACCATGTCTTATTCTTCTTCCAATCAACATCTTCAACGTTCACCACAACAACGTTACAACAATCGAATGCTTGATTTGGGTGCCGAAAATGGAAATTTAGCCACTCAAACATCCAATGGTTATCGTCAACGGGATATGATGACTCCAATGCAATCGAATACGATCAAAATGATTCGAATGAATCGAGATTATGGTGTAGATTACAGTGGTAATAATCAATTAGTGGCCATTCTTACTGACCAATTCGGACATGCAACTACAGCCGCAGGAAATTCCGCATCAATTGGACCACCAATATTGATGGCAGCAGGATCATTGAATTATCGCCAACAGATGTCACCACAGATGTCGTCAAAGAATATATCACCATCCAAATCAATTCCAATGACAAACAGTGTGTTTGGCGATATTCCAATTGAAACATTATTTAATTTAAAATTAAATCGTAATAGAAAACCACGATTGTAAAAGATAGATGGGGATAGATTCGATCATCATTCATTTTTATTTGTTGAGCTTTATATTTCCAAAAATAAAAAATATTTCAGCCATTATAGTATCGCCATCTGATGTTAAATTTACGAATTTTTTAGATTTTAATTATTTTTCTAAAATTTGCTTATTATTCAGCATCAACAAAAGGTAACAAGTGTTCTCTGTTCAATCTTTGAACGTAATCAACATGAATCACACACACACATACATCGTGACAAGATGATCAAGTGACAAGTGAACTTTGACCTCATCACTCATCATCATCATGTGTCATATCAGACATTTGATTGAATGATGATGAAAGAATGAATGACCTAGATTTTTTGTTTCTGTCAATAAAATCTACTAACTTGTAATTATTGACAAGAATTATTTGAAACAGGATTCATTTTTGACAAGTGTTAGAAACATATTTTCAAAAAAAAAAATTTGAATTCTCTAATTCAACAATCGAATATTCAAATTCCAAAAAATTCGTAACCATTGATTATGTTGATCACAAGTGGCCATTTGTTGTTTGTTTGTTTGTTTGCTTGTTAAATTGCTTGAAGCAGATAGGCGTGTATGTGTGCTGTTTGCACCGCACATCATAACAACAACAACAACAAACAAAAATAGCAATATAATAATCGAATATGATTAACAACAACAACAACAACAAACAACAAAAATTAATCAAACAACAAATTGATGTTTATATTGACAATCAATGATGGTCAATGATTGAATAAAAAAAAAAAATATGCAGGAATGGCAAAATTTTTCATTCTGTAAAGAATCAAGGCCATTTTATATTATATATTATGGCGTAGCAATAACAAATCACAACAACAACAACAACAACAAAAAAAAAAAAAAATTTTTCGAAACTTTTTTTTTACAATGGATGTCAGCCAGATTGACCGAAAAAGTGTGAATGTGAAAAAAAGGCCAGATTCATGGCCCATGGCCATTGTCAATAATATAATAGACACAATTGAAACTAGTAATAATTAATACCAAGTTCAATAAAATAAAATGAAAAAAAGATTCATTAATTAAATTGAATTGCACCACATTCATTGTTTCTCATTGAAATGAAAATGAAAATGAAAATGAAATGGAAAAGAAATTTTCCACAAAACAGAATCAATGAAACAGTCTATATTTGAATGTGAATATAGCTAAATATAACCACATTTATGTGTGTCCGAAAAGCAGAAAAAAAATCCAAGTGGACAATAGAAATAAAAATTGTACATCAAATCAAATAAAAGTAAAATTAAAGCAAAATTTTACAGTATGAAAAAAAAAATAAAACTCAAAGGGTTACAACACTGGTTAGTTTTTTTTCTTGTTTTTGTTGCTGTTGTTGTTGTAATTGTTGTTGTTGTTGTCGTTGATAATTAACGAAATCAAGAAAAAAAACAACAACAACAACAACAAACTTCAATCAAGATTTTGCCTGTGTTTTATTTGCCCCATTTATCAAGGATTTAATGAAAGATCAAAACAACAACAACAACAACAACAACGACGACGACAATTGCTTGATTATATCGCAGTGTCACATACATACGCACATTACAAATCAAACAAACCATCTCAATTCGATTAATTACGATTTTATGTGTATGTGTGTGTGTGTGTGTGTGTGTGTGGTTTTTTTGTTTGTTTTGTTTTTGTTTTGCTCTGTTCCATTACAGATGGATGGCATTCACAATTGAAATGTGTATGCAATGCATATTTAGATTCATCATCATCAGCATCAGCCAAAATGGTGATCCATTTTTTTCTTCTTCTTTCTCTCTATGATAGAAGCGACGGCGACGACAATCAATCCAGATCAATTATCATGATGATGATGATGATGATGATAAAGAAATAAAACAGAAGAAATTACTGCACTTTTCATTTTAAAAAAAAACCAATCAAAATCAAATCTTATTTGGTGGTGGATAGATAGATAGCCCCTAGATAGCATATATTTGAAACAATCCAGTTTTTTTTAAATATTCACAGATAATGAACAATCGAATCGTTTCCTTTTATATATTTGTGCATAAAGGGCTGGAATTAGAAAATGATACACACACACACACAGTATTTTTTTAATTGATTCTTTTGAATTAATTATTATCATCATTATTATTGGCCAGTAATTTCCATTGAATCTCATCCCCACTTGATCATCATATCTACCATTATTATCATACACATTCACCAATGGATAAAAACAAAACAAAAAATCTTATTGATTGACATATGGCCTAAAGATATATATTGCATAGTTGTTGATCCAGATCCAGATCTAGTATATAGATATTTTATTTTGGTTACCATTTTTGCCCATTGGCCATTTGTATTGGTATTATCTTTGGGGACCATACATAAATAAATAAAATATTACCTAAAACGATGATTGTCCATTGCTATATATTTGGTGTTTGTTATGACCGAAAAAAAAAAAAAATTTGGCAATATAATAACAAACAGATCAACAACAACATGCTTTTTTTGAACATAGAATGATTGATCTAATTTAAAAAAACGGCGCAATCTAAAATCCGATGCAATGGTAATCGGATGTTGTCAATAAAATGAATCTATAAATACTCACATTCATTAATCGATATCGATGATCAGATGATCGATGATGATGATGATGATGATTGTTTATTGCCCGTTAAAAATTATCATCGAAAACCAAAAAAAAAAAATTTTTTTTTTTTTTTTTTTGAAACAAATCATCTATAATTGGCCTGGATCAACAACATTTTTGCTAATTGTTTTTTTTTCTTTGCTTTCTCTTCATCTGAATATTGTTCTTACTTGAAGATCCAGAGTCTGAGGATTCATTTTAATTTTTCCAAATAATCGATACATTTGATACCTGGAATTTTTCCTTGATCAAAAATTTTTTTTCTGAACTAAGAGAGAGAGAGTGTATGTCCAGTTGGCAAACAGCAATATATCCTCATCATTGATATTTTAACAATTTTCGATAGCCAATTAGTGAAAAAAAAATAAAATAAAAACAAGAACAACAAGAAAACAACCTGGAAATGAATGACTCGATTAATGATTTTTTTTTTAAATTACCTGCCAGCTTGTTTGTTAGTGTGTGTGTGTGTGTATGCACGAGCCGGACAAACTGGCTATCAGTGAAAAAATGAAATAAAAAAAATTAACAAACAACCATAGATAAGAGCGAGAGTAAGTGAATGAGTGAAAGTGATAGGATGAAAATGTCACGAAAACATCATCATCATCATCATCATCATCGACTTTGCCGAATGTAAAAAGCCGGGCGCTTCCATGATATTCATTAAAAATCAATTCAGCTTTTTTTTATGGCAAATGAACAACAAAAAAAAATTAAATGAAATTCAACCATGTAATAATGACACAATGATGGCTAAAAAGGCTATCATCAACAACATTAACATTTCATTTCATAATGAATTATTAATCATATATCCGGATTCATTATTTAGCACCCATTGGATATTCTTTGATCAATATGTATATCATCATCATCATCATCCACATTTACATTTACAACATTAATCGATTTGGAATAAAAGAAGAGAAAAAAAATCGGATTAATCCATACGGTGTGTGTGTGTGTGTGTGTGAAATGATCAACTAACACTTGAACCGGTCAATGTTTCGATTGGAATGATGGAGAAAATAGGGGGGAGGGGAGAAGGAATGATCGACAAAACTTGCACAACTGTTTAGTAGTAGTGATTTGATATGAAATCGATTTAAACAACAACAACAACAACAACAAAATGAACATCCTGTTTTTTTTTTTAAAGAAAAAATGTTTGAATAGGATGATGATTCGTAGGTTTTTTTTCCAAAGCTGATGTGTTTGTGTGTGTGTGTATGACGGTTATAATGAGGCAATCAGTGCCAAGCATTTTTTTATTTTTTTCACCACTATTTTCATTTGGCCAATCGATGTTTACATCGATGATGACCATCATCAATGTATCGATCAATAATCGATGTTTTGATCATTTCAATCACATTGAGCGTTTGTATGATGATGATGATGATGATGTTGGACACTTATATATTATCCTATCCTATCTTTTTTTAAAATGGCAACATCGAAAATTATTTGCCTTTACCAATGAGTGTGTGTGTATTCATCACAGAAGCCGATTATCTAAAAATGATCTAGTTTCTCATCATCATCATCACTTACAATACTGAATTATAATAGAGAAAGAGGGAGAGGAGAGAGAGAGTTATTACGTTGTTGTTGACCATATAGTATGACGATGACCAGCAAATGGTCACCATTCTCTTTTTTTTCTCAACAAGCTCATCATCATCATCATCATCATCATCATGGTCGGTCATGTTTTTCATGTATGCTTGATAGTTGTGAGAAATTTTTTTTTTTTTTCATTTTCTGCCAATAAAGAAAATGAAAAAATGAATCCACAAAAACAAACCGTAATCGTAAAATGTTGGTGTCTGAATCAATCATCAAATATTTTACTTGTATCAATTGCTCTGATTTTGGATTGGACAAATACACACACACACACACACACGAAAAAATGGATGATGACCAAATCAAATTGGATGTGAATTCAGAAAAAAAAGATGACCATTACCATATTATGGTTATTACAAATAAAAAAATTGTTATTATTTTGCAAACGGTAAATCAGTCATCATATATAACAAATTGTCCATTCATTTCCTTGTCCCTCAATGTATATTGTGATCTATCTATTCACATTGGTCAGGGTGAATCGGCTTCAATATTGGCCATTCATTAGCCAATGAAATTTCACTGGCTATTTAATCAAATGGTCAAAGTTTATAAAATCAATTGTTCCGCCATAGAAAATAAAATAAAATGTGCCAGTTATTCATTAATGTTTTTTTTTTGCCGTATAAACCATGTATGTGGAAATGAAATTTATGAATTTTTTTTTCATCTTGTTTTAAAATAAAACTGAACAAATTTTCT